CAGTGCCCCAGCACCCCCAACCTGAAGTCCCCCTGTTCCACTCTGACCCCATCACCCCTTGTCCCATCGCTCCAGTCCCTGATGCAGGTCCCTCCCCAGCATCCTTGTACCCCTTCACCCACTGGAAGCTGCTCTGAGCTCTCCACGCAGCTCCTCTGCTCCAAGCCCCAATGTTCTCCTCTTTGTGGCCTCCCTCCATCACCTCCGCATCCCTCCATGGAGGACCCCCGATCCCTTGGGGCTCACATCCCTCTCCCTCCCACCCCACAGGAGAGAAGAAGTTCGCCTGCCCGGAGTGCCCCAAGCGCTTCATGCGCAGCGACCACCTCTCCAAGCACATCAAGACCCACCAGAACAAGAAAGGCGGTGCCGGCAGCACCGTGGCCATGAACGTCTCCGCCGTCCCCATGGACACGGGGGCCGCGGCCGAAGGCAACGGCGCTGCCCCCCCTTCGGCTCTCATCGCCACCAACATGGTAGCCATGGAAGCCATCTGCCCCGAGGGCATCGCACGCCTGGCCAGCAGCGGCATCAACGTCATGCAAGTGGCCGACCTCCAGTCCATCAACATCAGCGGCAACGGGTTCTGAGGCGCCGCAACCGGGACCTGCTGCCGGCCCCCGCGGCATTCCCATGGGATCGAGCCCGAAGGCCAGAGCTTTCTCTCTTATTTTTTAATCCAGCTTCACCTTATCATTTGTTGGGGTCCCCCCCCCTTAATTTCACTCCCTGATTCCCACCCCAGCATTCCCGGGATGCGCTCCCGTCGCTTTAGCCTTCGATGCCATCATGCCTTGGGGAAAATACACGATTCTCACCTTAACTTTTTAGGGGAAAAACAAAAGGCAAAAAAACAAAAAACGACAAAAAAGGAAAAAAAAACACACAAAAAAAGGACAAAAGACAAAAAAAAAAGCTTCTGAGGAGCCGCCCCCCCCCCTTTGCCCCCCCAGAGTCTATATTATTATATATATATAACGTGTAAAGCGGGCTCGCGGGAGAGAGCCCAGGCGCTGCCGCCACCGGGACACCGGGTCTCTTTGATGCCTTATCCCGGGCCAGGCCGAGCCTGGGGGCTGAGCTGCTCCGGGATTCCCTTTTAGAGCAAATCCCTTGGGAAAGGGGAAAACCACCCCCCCCACCCCAATGGGTTCTTTTGTACCCCTTACCCTTGGCTTCTCTGTTCTCTGGAGCTTGGGTTCTTTTCCCCCTCCGTTCCCTTTCTTTGTGCATCCCCCTTGGGCTTCCGGATGGGTTTTCCAAGCAGCTTCCTTTGGGAAGAGCCTTCCTCCCGCTCCGCACAGGGCATGGGGGGGTTCTGAGCTCAGAGCTCAGCCAGGTCCCAGCCCCAGCTCCGGGGCTTCTCCTCAGGGAAAAGGTCTCGTTTTCCTTCATCACTGCTGCATTGCAGAGGAATCGGCCCCAAAACTGATGGAGGCGGCGCTTTTCCACCCGGGATTGGCCTGCAGGGGACAGGGGATGGGGCTGGAGGCAGCTCCCCCACCCCAATCCCGTTGGATACGGGGCAGCTCAGGGGAAACCCCATTGGTTTTCCAGGATCCGGCGTCTCCCAGGCCGGGATGGCTCCAGGCGCCTTCCTCCCACACCCTCCTCTTCCTGCTCCCATCCGGCTGCACACACACATCACATCCCCCCCACACCCCAATTCCAATGGGGATTTGATCTCAGGGTGCTGCATCGGGATTGCATTCCCGAAACACGGCAGCGGTGGGGCCGGGATCCCAACCGCGCTTCCCATGGGATCGGAATCCCTGTTCCCAGCAGGGATGCTGGGGTGAGAGGAGCACCTGGAGGGGGGGGAACCGGGGGTAGGAATCACCTGGGATGGGAAAACCAGTCCTGGAATGGGAAAACCAGTCCTGGAATGGGGAAACCAGTCCTGGAATGGGAAAACCGGCCCCAGTTGGGAGCAGCCTTGAGCTCCCAGTGGTGGTGGAGAGGTGGAGGTGGCCCCTGGGGTCCCCATCTCGATGGCTTTGGGTCATGGTGCCACCACCTTTGCCCATGGGAGAAGCTGGTGTGGAGGTGAGGAACCCATGGACTGCTCCATGAATCCCAGTGGTGTCTTCCTGTATCCCAACCAACAGCATCTTCCCAGTCCAGCTCAATGATCCCTTCTTCCACCCATCCCAATGGTGTCTTCCCAGTCCAACCCAGTGATGTCTTCTTCCATTGAACCCCACAGTCTTCCTTACCCAACCCAATGGCTTCCTCTATCCAACACAGTGATCCCTTCTTCCATCCAACCCAATGGTGATTCCCAATCCCTCCCAGTATCTTCCATCCAACCCAATGGTGTCTTCCCAATCCATGCCAGTATCTTCCACCCAACCCAGTGGTGTCTTCCCAGTCCATCCCAGTATCTTCCATCCAACCCAATGGTGTCTTCCCAGTCACTCCCAGTATCTTCCATCCAACCCAGTGGTGTTTTCCCAATTCCTCCCAGTATCTTCCATCCAACCCAGCAGCGTTTGCCACATCCATCCCACCCAATGATGCCTTCTTTCATTCAACCCAACGGTGTCTTCCCAGTCCATCCCAGTATCTTCCATCGAACCCAATGGTGTCTTCCCAATCCATCCCAGTATCTTCCATCCAACCCAGTGGTGTCTTCCCAATCCATCCCAGTATCTTCCATCCAACCCAATGGTGTCTTCCCAGTCCCTCCCAGTATCTTCCATCCAACCCAGCAGCGTTTTCCACATCTATCCCACCCAATGATGTCTTCTTCCATCCAACCCAATGGTGTCTTCCCAAGCCAATGGCATCTCCCATCCAACCCAATGGTGTCTTCCCAGTCCAACCCAAGGCTGTCTTCTCCCATCCCAGTGGCATCTCCCATCCTACCCAGTGGTGTCTTCCCAATCCAATGCCATCTTCTCCCAACACAATGGCATCTCCCATCCAACCCAATGGTGTCTTCCCAGTCCAACCCAATGCTGTCTTCTCCCATCCCAGTGGCATCTCCCATCCTACCCAATGGTGTCTTCTCCCATCCCAGTGGCATCTCCCATCCTACCCAGTGGTGTCTTCCCAATCCAATGCCATCTTCTCCCATCCCAGTGGCATCTCCCATCCAACCCAATGCCATCTTCTCCCATCCCAGTAGCATCTCCCATCCAACCCAATGCTGTCTCTCCCATCCCATCCAACGGTGTCTTCCCAATCCCACCCAGTGCCCTCTTCCACCCACCCAAACGCTCCCTCCTTGCTCCCCTCTCATTCCCAGACCCATTTCCCCCCCTTTCCTTCGGGATAACCCAGGATCACCCCATCCCTCCAACCACCCCCTTGACCTCAAGCATCCCAACCACCTCCTATAGGCCGGAATCCCCTTTCGGAGCTGCGTTATCCCACCAGGCCCCCCCCTTCCCCATTGCTGGGAAAGCCGAATCCCAGTTCCGGAGGCCCGGAATGCCACTGGGATCATCCCATAGGCTCCGGAGCCGGCAGCTCTCTCCCTCGAGGGATATTTTTGCATTTGTATATTTTTATATAGGAATTGGAGCATTTGTATTTTAATAACCTGTGAAGCACTAACCCCCCCTCGGGAATTTCAATGGGAAGCAGGGATTTGGGGGGCATTCACCATCAAAACAGCCACTTCTCAACCCCTTTCCCCCCTTATTCCAAGCAGGAATCAAGTGCCAAACCCGTGCCCCAGTGAGGTTTTGGGGTGTCCTCATCTGCCCCCCCCCCCCCTCCCCTCCCCCATTGGCCCTGATGGAATTGTTTTCCTATGGAAACGTGGATGGGGAGGGTTGGGGAGGGGGGGGGGAGGGGGGCTTTATTCTGCACCACCCCCATCCTCACCCCTGGGCCCCCCCCAAACACCCCCACCCCCTCCCAGGGTGATGGGGGGGGACACCCACAAACGTGCCTTGAGAAGGGGGTGACAGCAGGGGCCGAGCCCCCCCCCCCTCCCTCCCCATTCCCATCCCCCCCATGGGGCTGGGGTCTATGCAGGGGGGGGCATGGGGGGGTCCTGCCCCCCCCGCACTGGCAATAATTCATTACTCTCTTATCAAGACTCTTGGGTCTGTGATTGGGGGGGGGGGGGCATGGCTGAGAACACCCAAAAGGCGATTTTTTGGGGGGGAATGGGGGGGATTTGGGGCTGATTTTGGTCCCAAAGTGCTATTTTTTTGTACAAAGGATGAAAATGAGATGGGGGGGGGTCGGGGGGGGCCTTTGTAAATGGGGAACAGCGATGGGGGGGTTTTGTAATAAAGATGAATCGCTGGCGTGGCCTGGAGGTGTGATGGGGAGACAGGCTGGGGGGCAGGCACGGTGTGGGGCTATGGCGGGGGAACTGTATGGGGCTATGGGGGAAGCAGTGTGGGGCTATGGGGGGCCCACACAATGTGGGGCTATGGGAAGGGTAGACACGGTGTGGGGCTATGGGGGGGGCAGACAGAATGTGGGGCTATGGGGCACAGAATGTGGGGCTATGGGGGAACACTATGGGGCTATGGGAGGGGGTAGACAGAGTGTGGGGCTATGGGGGGGGCAGGCACAGTGTGGGGGGCTGCACACAATGTGGGGCTATGGGGGGGTGTAGACACAGTGTGGGGCTATGGGGGGGTGCAGTGTGCAGCTATGGGGGGGGCCGACAATGTGGGGCTATGAGGGGGGTAGACAGTGTGGGGCTGTGGGGGGGGTAGACACAATGTGGGGCTATGGGGGGAACTATATGGGGCTATAGGGGGGCAGACACAGAGTGGGGCTATGGGGGCGGTAGACACAGTGTGGGGCTATGGGGGGGGAACTATATGGGGCTATGGGGGGGGGCAGACACAGCGTGGGGCTATGGGGGGAGATGGGCACAGTGTGGGGCTGGAACAATGTGGGGCTCTGTGGGGGGGGCTGGATCATACCGGCCCCCCCCATCCCATCCCATCCCATCCCATTCCCCTCCCCACTGCGGGGGCTGCTCCTTCCTCCTCCTCCTCCTCCTCCTCCTCCCGGCCGCTTCCCGCATCCCATTCACTCCATCCCAGAGGCTCCCATGGGGCACCCAGGTGGGTGCTGCCCCCCCCAGCCCCATAGGGGGGTTCTGGGGATGGGGTTTGGGGGGGGGGGGGATGATGGGGTTCGGTGGGAGGGGGGGGTGGTTTTGGGGCGCTCCCCACTCTCTACCCCCCCCACCCCCCCCAGGTCCCCGCAATCTCAGCTGCGTCTCCTACAAGCACCCCAGTGTGCGGGGGGGGCTGGGGGGCGCGGGGGGGGCTCGGCCCCGCACCGTGCGGTGCCCCCCCGGCCACTGCTGCATCGGGATCTGGAACCAGAGCCAGGCACTGGTGCAGGGTGAGAGCGGGGATGGGGGGGCCCCATCCTGCCCTATGGGGGGGGGGGGGTTGGGGGTGCTGGGGCTGAGCCTGCCCTATGGGGGGGGTTGGGGATGGGGATCCCCCCCCCCCCCGGGTCCATTGGCGGCTGCGGCCGGGACCTGACCTTGGCCTTGAGCTGTGGGGCCGGGAATGCGGGGGGGGGGGGGATGGACATGGGGGGGGGGGGAACGGGGGAAGGGGGCCTCGATGGGGGGGGTTCCTGAAGAGGGGGACACGGGAAGGGAAAAGGGGGGTCGATGGGGAGATGGGGGGGGGGGTTAAGGGGGGTGCTGGAGCCGTCCATGGGGTCCGGTTCAGGGGGGTCCCTGTTAAGGGGGGTCCCTGGGGGGGTCCCTTGGGGGATCCCGGTTCAGGGGGTTCCTGTTAGGGGGTCCCTGGGGGGGGGTCCCTGTTAAGGGGGTCCCTGGGGGGGTCTCTTTTAAGGGGGTTCCCTGGGGGGGGCCCCCGTTAACGGGGATCCCTGATGGGGACCCCTGGGGGTTCCCTGGGGGGGGTTCTGTTAAGGGGGTTCTCTGGGGAGATCCGGGTTCAGGTGGGTGTCTGTTAAGGGGGGTCCCTGAGGGGGGTTCCTGGGGGTTCCCTGGGGGGGGTCTCTGTTAAGGGGGTCCCTCGGGGGGTGGGGGGATCTGTGGGGGCGTTCCCTGCGGGTCTCTGTTAAGGGGGTTCTCTGGGAGGGTTCCTGTTAAGGGGGGTCCATGTTAAGGGGGTCCCTAGGGGGGTCTCTGTTAAGGGGGGTCCCTGTTAAGGGGGGTCTCTGTTAAGGGGGTCCCTGGGGTCTCTGTTAAGGGGGTCCCTGGGGGGTTCCCTGTTAAGGGGGGTCCCTGTGGGTCCCTGTTAAGGGGGGGTCCCTGTTAAGGTTAAGGGGGGGTCCCCGTTAAGGCGGTCCCTAGGGGGTGTTCCCTGTTAAGGGGGGGTCCCTGTTAAGGGGGGTCCCTGGGGGGGGTTCCCTGTTAAGGGGGTTCCCTGTTACGGGGTGTCCCTGTGGGTCCCTGTTAAGGGGAGTCCCTGTCAAGAGGGTTCCCTGTTAAGGGGGTTCCCTGTGGGTTCCTGTTAAGTGGGTCCCTAGGGGGGGTCCCTGTTAAGGGGGTCACTGTTAAGGGGGGTCCCTGTTAAGGGTGTCCCTATGGGGGGTTCCCTGTTAAGGGGTTTCCTGTTAAGGAGGGTCCCTGTTAAGGGGGGGTCTCTGTTAAGGGGGGTCCCTGGGGGGTTCCATGTTAAGGGGGGTCCATGGGGGGGGTCCCTGTTAAGGGGGTCCCTGGGGGGGTTCCCTGTTAAGGGGGGTCCCTAGGGGGGGTCCCTGTTAAGGGGGTCCCTGGGGGGTTCCCTGTTAAGGGGGGTCCCCGGGGGGTCCCCGCGGTCCCGGTGCCATCGGCGGCTCCCGCAGGCTGCTGGGGGGGCGGGGGCGCCTCGTGCCCCTCCCCCCTGTGCGCCCCCAGCCCCGCGGGGCCCCCGGGCGGCGCCGTCCTCGTCTGCCTGTGCCGGGGGCAGCTCTGCAACGGGAACGGGAACGGGAACAGCGGGAGCGGGAGCGGGCAACGGGCGGCGGGGGGGGCGGGCAGGAACGGAGCAGGTACGGGGGGAACGGGATAACGGGGGGGGGGGGGAGTGGGGAACACTGGGGGAATGGGGTAATGGGAATGGGGTAATGGGGGCAATGGGGGAATGGGGGTAATGGAATGGGGTAATGGGGGGAATGGGTAATGGGGGAATGGGGACAATGGGGTAATGGGCAATGGGGTAATGGGGGTAATGGGGTAATGGGGGTAATGGGGGCAATGGGGGAATGGGGGTAATGGGGTAATGGGGGCAATGGGGAGTAATGGGGGAATGGGGGTAATGGGAGCAATGGGGGAATGGGGGTAATGGGGGGAATGGGGAATGGGGGGAATGGGAATGGGGGGAATGGGGGAATGGGGTAATGGGGGTAATGGGGGAATGGGGGAATGGGAATGGGGGAATGGGGTAATGGGGGAATGGGGTAATGGGGTAATGGTAATGGGGAAATAGGGTAATGGAGTAAGGGGGGTAATGGGGGTAATGGGGTAATGGGGGTAATGGGGTAATGGGGGTAATGGGTAATGGGGGGCAATGGGGGTAATGGGGCAATGGGAGCAATGGGGGAATGGGGTAAGGGGGGTAATGGGGATGGGGGAATGGAGGGTAATGGGGGAATGGGGTAATGGGGTAATGGTAATGGGGGGTGATGGGGTAATGGGTGTAATGGGGTATGGGTAATGGGGGGTAATGGGGTAATGGGGTAATAGAGTATAGGGGTAAAGGGTAATGGGGATAATGGGAGGCAATGGGAGCAATGGTAATGGGGGCAATGGGGGGTAATGGGGGTGCAAGGGATGGGAGCCACTGAGATCACTTGGGGTGGACCCTGAAACCCTCAGGGGACCCATGGGGGGGGTTGGGACCCTTAAGGGACCCCTAGGGGTGGGATGTGGGGCCCATAGGGACCCACGGGGAGGGACAGGGGGCACATAGGGGGTGGGAGACCCGGGGGGGGTCTGTGGTGGGTTGGTGCTGGGACCCTTAAGGGACCTATAGGGGGCTGTGGGGCCCATGGGGGGGGGGCTGTGGGGCCCATGGGGGGGGCTATGGGATCTATGGGGCAGCTCTATGGGGCTGGGGCCCCCCGGGACCCGGCATCACCGCAGCCCCGTCCCCAGGGCCCGGCCGCACGGGGGCGCTGTGGCTGTGGGGCGCCGGCCCCCTCCTCATCCTCCTCGCCTGCCTCTGTGTGCTCGGTAGGGATGGGGGGCACAGACCCCCCCCCAGTGTCCCCAATGGGGGGCTCCTGGGGGTCCCCAGCCCCCGCCTCCCCCTCGTTATGGGGGTCCCGGAGGGGGGTCCCTGTGCCCCACACGTCCCCGTTCCAGGGCTGCGCCGGGCCAGGGCCCACAGGGGGCGGCCACGGCGGGGGGGGAGCGGGGCCCCCCCAGAGCCCCCCAGCCCGGAGCTGCCTGCGCTGCGCTTCCTGAAGGTGGGGGGCGCACATGGGGGGGGCACCCAATGGTGGGGGGGCACCCAATGATGGGGGTGCACCCAATGGTGGGGGGGCACCCAATGGTGGGGAGGGGGCAACCAATGGTGGGAGGCACCCAATGATGGGGAGGGGGCAACCAATGGGGGGGCACCCAATGATGGGGAGGGGGCAACCAATGGTGGGGGGCAACCAATGGGGGGGGGCAACCAATGGGGGGGGGGCACCCATGGGGGGAGGGACACATGGGGGGGGCACCCAATGATGGGGAGGGGGCAACCAATGGGGGAGGCACCCAATGGTGGGGGGTGGCGCAATGAAACCCTGCGGGGTCGGGGGGGGCTCAGGGCTGAGGGGGGGGAGGGTTTGGAGGGGGGGTGGGGCCCCTGGGCATGGGGGCCCTTGGGGGGGGACCCCGGGTCCGGCTGTCCCCGTGCCTGGGTGCCCCCTGCCGGTGCTGCAGCGGGGCCGGTTCTCGGGCTGTGGCCCACGGAGGGTCCCTGTCTATGGGGTCTGTCCATGGGGGTCCTATGGGGGTGCTATGGGGTGTGTGGGGGCTGTGGGGTCCCTGTCGCTGTCTATGGGGCTCTGTCCCGCTCTGTGGGGTCGCTGCCGCTCAGTGCCATTCGGGAGCGCTGTCCCGCCCTATGGGGGCACTGTCCCCATTGCCCCATGCCTGCACTGTCCCCATTGTCCCACGGGGGCGCTGTCCCCATTGTCCCATCCCTGCCCCGTCCCCATTGCCCCATGGAGGCGCTGTCCCCATTGCCCCATCCTTGCACCGTCCCCCCCCATCCCTGCCCTGTCCCCATTGCCCCATCCCTGCACTGTCCCCCCCTTCCCTGCACTGTCCCCATTGCCCCATTTGGGGGCGCTGTCCCCATTGCCCCATCCCTGCACCGTCCCCATTGCCCCACGGGGGGCGCTGTCACCATTGCCCCATCCCTGCCCTGTCCCCCCCATCTCTGCACTGTCCCCATTGCCCCACGCCTGCACTGTCCCCCCCACACCTGCCCCATCCCCATTGCCCCACGGGGGGCGCTGTCCCCATTGCCCCACGCCTGCCCCATCCCCATTGCCCCATGGCCGCCCTGTCCCCATTGCCCCACTGGGGGGCGCTCTCCCGCAGGTGCTGCAGCGGGGCCGCTTCTCCTCGGTCTGGGCCGGCTCCCTCCGCCACCGCCCGGTCGCCATCAAAGCGTTCGCGGCCGGCGGGGCCGCGCGGTTCGCTGCGGAGCGCGCCGTGCACGCGCTGCCGCTCATGGAGCACGAGAACGTGGCGCGGCTGCTGGGGGCGCGCGCCGCGGGGCCGCGCGCGGGGGGGGGGCTCCGGGTGCTGCAGCTGTACACGGCGGTGAGCGCGGGAACGGGAGCGGGGGGGCGGGAACGGGGGGGAAAGGGGGCGGAGCGAGGGTCAATGGGGAGAATGGGGATGGGTGGGGGCGGGATGCTGGGGGTCACATGGGTGCACGTGGGGTGCTGGGGTGCCCATGGGATGCTGTGGGTTCACATGGGTGCACATGGGATGCTGGGGATCACATGGGATGCTGGGGTTCACATGGGTGCACATGGGATGCTGGGGATGACACAGGTGCACATGGGATGCTGTGGGTGCACATGGGGTGTTAGGGATCACATGGGTGCACATGGGATGCTGGGGTTCACATGGGATGCTGTGGGTGCACATGGGGTCCTGTGGGTTCACATGGGTGCCCGTGGGGTGCTGGTGCATGGCCATCACACACCAACACACGGGAAAGGGGGCAGTGGGGGGAGATGCCTGTGTGCCCACATGTGTGTGCATGTTCCCATGTGTGTGTGTCCTTGTGTGTGCCCATGTGTGTTGTGTGTTCTCATGTGTGTTGTGTGTGCTCACATGTGTGTGTCCTCGTGTGCCCACATGTTGTGTGCTCACACATGTTGTGTGTGTGCCCTCATGTGTGCCCATGTGTGTTGTGTGTTCTCATGTGTGTTGTGTGTGTCCTCATGTGTGTCCCCACACATGTTGTGTGTCCTCACACATGTTGTGTTGTGTGTCCCCATGTGTGTTGTGTCCCCATGTGTGTGTGTCCCTGTATGTTGTGTGTGTGTCCTCACACATGTTGTGTGTTGTGTCCCCACATGTGTGTGTCCCCATGTGTTGTGTGTCCCCACACGTGTTGTGGTTGTGTCCCCATGTGTGTTGTGTCCCTATATGTGTTGTGTGTCCCCACACGTGTTGTGTGTTATGTGTGGTGTCCCCACACGTGTTGTGTGTTGCGTGTCTCCATGTGTTGTGTCCCCCCATGTGTGTTGTGTCCCTATATGTGTTGTGTGTCCCCACATGTGTTGTGTGTGTCCCCATGTGTGTTATGTGTTGTGTGTCCTCACCCGTGTTGTGTGTGTCTCCATGTGTGTTACATGTCCTCACCTGTGTTGTGTGTGTGTCCCCATGTGTTGTGTGTCCCCATGTGTTCTGTGTTGTGTCCCCACCCGTGCTGTCCCCCCCAGGGCTCCCTGCGCCAGTTCCTTGCTCACCACGTGGGTACCTGGGCGGGCAGCGTGCGCCTGGCGCTGTCCCTGGCTCGGGGCTTGGCCTTCCTGCACCAGGAGCTGTGGCGCGATGGTGAGCACCGGGGGGCACCGGAGCACCCCCCCCCCCCCCCCCCCCCTCACCCCCCCCCCCCCCCCCCCCCCAGGCCTGTACAAGCCCAGCGTGGTTCACCGGGACCTGAGCAGCCAGAACGTGCTGGTGCGGGACGATGGCACCTGCGCCATTGGAGACTTCGGGCTGGCGCTGGCGCTGCCGCCCAGAGAGCAGGGGGGAGCCGCGGCCCCGAGAGGGGGACCCATCCGCAGGGTGATGGAGGGGGTGGGAGGGAGGCGGGGATGGGGATGGGGTGGGGATGGGGATGAGGAGGGATGGGGATGGGAAAGGGATGGATGGGAGAGGGACGGGATAAGTGGGATGGGGATGGGATGGAATGGGAATGAGGTGGGGATAAGGGAAGAAATGGGATGGGGTGGGAATGGGATATGGGGATGGGAATGGAGATGGGGAGGATGGGGTGGGATGGGAGAGATGGTGGGATGGAGGCAGGGATAGCATGGAGACAGGGATGGGGATGGGGATGGAGATAGAGATGGGGTGGGATGGAGGCAGGGATAGGACGGAGACAGGGATGGGGATGGGATTGGGATGGGGATGGGGATGGAAATGGGATGGGATGGGGATGGAGACAGGGATGGGGATGGGATGGGGATGGGGATGGGGATAGAGATGGGGATGGGGATGGGATGGGGATGGGGATAGGATGGTGATGGGATGGAGGCAGAGATAGCATGGAGACAGGGATGGGGATGTGATGGGGTGGGATGGAGACAGGGTTGAGGATGGGGATAGAGATGGGGATGGAGATTGAATGGAGGTGGGATGGGGATGTGATGGGATGGAGACAGGGATAGCACTGAGACAGGGATGGGGATGGAGACTGGGTGGGAACAGGGATGGGGACAGGGATGGGATGCAGACAGGAATGGGGATGGGGATAGAAATGGGGATGTGATGGGGTGGGATGGAGACAGGGATGAGGATGAGGACAGGGATAGCATTGAGACAGGGATGGGGACAGAGACTGGATGGAGGTGGGATGGGGATGTAATGGGGTGGGATGGAGTTGGGGATGAGGATGAGGACAAGGATAGGGTTGAGACAGGGATGGGATGGGAATGCAGATGGAGATGGGGACAGGGATATAATTGAGACAGGGATGGGGATGGAAAGGTGATGAGGATGGGATGTGAATGGGGATGGAGACAGGATGGGAGCAAGGATGGGGACAGGGATAGGGATGAGGTTGGGATAGGGATGCAGATGGACATGGAGATGGGGACAGGGATAGAACTGAGACAGGGTTGGGGATGGAGATGGGGACAGGGATAGAATTGAGACAGGGATGGGGATGGAGATGGGGACAGGGACAGGATTGAGACAGGGATGGGGATGGGAAGGGGATGGAGATGGGGACAGGGACAGGATTGAGACAGGGATGGGGATGGGAATGGGATGGGGATGGGAAGGGGATGGAGATGGGGACAGGGACAGGATTGAGACAGGGATGGGGATGGGAAGGGGATGGAGATGGGGATGGGAAGGGGATGGAGATGGGATGGGGATGGAGATGGGGACAGGGACAGGATTGAGACAGGGCTGGGGATGGGAAGGGCACGGGATGATGGGATGAGACCAAGGATGGGGACAGGGATGTGACAGGGACAGGCCCCCTGCCCACTGCCCGCCCCGTGCGTTGTGTGCGCAGAGCAGAGCCGAGCCCCGGTGCCCTGGGCTGACCGTGCCGTGGGGGGTGCTCTGCGGCAGGCGGGCACGCAGCGGTACCTGGCCCCCGAGATCCTGGACGAGAGCCTGGACCTGCGGGCCTGGGGCCGGGCGCTGCTGCAGGCCGATGTGTACGCGCTGGCGCTGCTGCTCTGGGAGATCCTGACCCGCTGCCAGGCCCTGAGCCCCGGTGAGCACCGAGGGATGCTCCGTGCACCCCTCCCCGTGCCCCGCATCCCTGCCCCGGCCTCACCCGCTCCGGCCCCGCAGGAGCCCCGGTACCCGCGTTCCGCCTCGCCTACGAGGCCGAGCTGGGCTCCAGCCCCACGGGGGCGCAGCTCCGCCGCTTGGCCGTGGACGAGAGGCGCCGGCCCCTGATCCCCCCCGCCTGGCACCGGGCACCCCAGGTCAGCCCCGGCCCGTGGCCACTGGGGGGGGGGAGGACGTGATGGGGGGTCCTGCAGGGGGTGCACAAGGGGGGGTTTGGGGGGTACCGGAGTCTTTGTGGGTGCCAGGGATGGGGGCGGTGCTTGTGTTTGGGGGGTCCCGGAGTGTTTCGGGGTGCCCGTGATGGGGGGGTCCCTGTGTGGGTGCACAGGGGGGTTTGGGGGTGCCCGTGATGGAGGGGTCCCTGTGTGGGTCCACAGGGAGTGTTTGGGGGGTATCGGGGTGTTTGGGGGTGCCCGTGATGGGGGGGTCCTGCAGTGGGTGCACAGGGGGTATTTGGGGGTGCCCGGGGTATTTGGGGGTGCCCATGATGTGGGGTGCTTGTGTTTGGGGGTTCCCGGAGTGTTTCGGGGTGCCCGTGATGGGGGGGTCCCTGTGTGGATGCACAGGGGGGGTTTGGGGGTGCCCGTGATGGGGGGGTCCCTGGGGGTGCACGGGGGGGGTTGGGGGTGCCCGGGGTGTTTGGGGGTGCCCATGATGGGGGGTGCTTGTGTTTGGGGGTTCCCGGAGTGTTTCGGGGTGCCCGTGATGGGGGGGTCCCTGTGTGGGTCCACAGGGAGGTTTGGGGGGTTTGGGGGTGCCCGTGATGGGGGGGTCCGGGTGCACGGGGGGGTGGGGTGCGGGGGTTTGGGGTGCCCGGGTGTTTGGGGTGCCCTGATGGGGGGTCCTTGTGGGGGGTTTGGGTGCTCGGGGTGTTTGGGGGTGCCCATGATGGGGGGTGCTTGTGTTTGGGGATTCCAGCAGTTTCGGGGCTTCCGTGATGGGGGAAGCCCTGTGTGGGTGCACAGGGGGGGTTTGGGGGTGCCAGTGATGGGGGGGGTCCCTACCCAGCCGCCCATTGGTGTTTGGGGGTGACCAGGGGGGGTCCCTGGCTTGGGGGTGCCCCTGTTCGGGGGGGTCGTGCGCCTGTTCGGGGTTTCCTGTTTTGGGGGGGGTCCCTGTCCGGAGGGGGGGTGTTCCCTGTTGGGGTCCTGCTGCCACTGGAGGGGCCCCGTTTTGGGGACCCCTGTTTGTGGGTCACCTTTTGGGGGGGATCCCCGCTCTGGGGGGTCCCTGTTTTGGGGTCCCTGTGGGGGGGTCCCCGTTGCGCTCCCTCTGACGCGGGAGGGGTCCCGCAGCCCGGGGGGGCGCTGCCGGAGCTGCTCGAGGATTGCTGGGACCCGGACCCCGAGGCGCGGCTCTCGGCGGAGCGCGCCCTGCAGCGCCTGCAGCGCCTGGCGCAGGGGGACTGAGCCGGCCCGGGGGCGGGGCCACCGAGAAGCCCCGCCCTCGTCCCGCCCACCGCCGGGAAGCTCCGCCCCCCTCCCGCTTCCTGCCGGGAGGGGCCAAGGTCGAAGCGAAGGCGGAAGGTTGGGAAAGGAGCTGCCCCCCCCAGCACCAACCCCCCCCCTGCACCCCCACATCCACCCCTGAACCCCCATATCTACCCCCTCTGCACCCCCATATCTACACCCTCTGCACCCCATATCCACCCCATGCACCCCACAACCCCCCCTGCACTCCCATATCCACCCCATGCACCCCACAACCCCCCCGCACCCCCTTATCCACCCCATAACCCCCTCTGCACCCCCATATCCACCCCATAACCCACTCTGCACCCCCATATCCAACCCATGCACCCCACAACCCCCCCATATCCACCCCATGCACCCCATAACCCCCTCTGCACCCCCATATCCACCCCTGCACCCCCCAACCCACCTGCACCCCCCATATCCACCTCATGCACCCCAGAACCCCCCTGCACCCCCACATCCACCCCATGCACCCCAGAACCAGCCCCAACCCCCCCGCACCCCTATATCCACCCATGCACCCCACAACCCCCCTGCACCCCCACACCCACCCCCCCACACCCCACAACCCCCAGTGCACCCCAAACCCCTGAACCCCGAATCCCCCCCTTTTACCCTGAATCCACCCTTTGCACCCCACAACCCACACTCACCCTGTGCCCCCCCCAGGTCCTGGAGCTGCCCCCCCCATGTGGAACCCGGGTGCAGGTAAAAGGGGGGGGACATCCCCAGGTTTGGGGTCTCCCATGACCCCCTCCTGCCCCCCCAGGCAGTGACGGGGTTGGGGTCCCCCCCCTCACTTCTCTCTCCCCCCCTTTCAGGGCCGCCGCCCCCCCCCAACCCCGTGTACCCCCCAAACCCCATGTGCCCCCCCCACCCCCCCCCTCCCAACCCCATGCACCCCCCTCCCGGGGCACCCCCACACCCACCGGGGGGACCGGGGCACCCCCCATACCCCCCTGGGGCCCCCCCGTACCCCCCAGGGCCTCCCCCACCCCATTGCGGGCCCCCCCCATGCCCAATGGGACCCCCGGGGTGCCCCCCTCACCCTGGGGTGCCCCCCCCCCATGGGGTGCCCCCCCTGTACCCCCCTGTGCTGGACAAGAAGGCGGCGAAGAAGATGAAGAAGAAGATGAAGAAGGCTCACAAGAAGCACAAGGTGATGGGGGGGGGGTCACACACATGGGGGGGCACTTGGGGGTCCCCAGGGTGCTCACGTCTCTGTCCCCCCCCCCACAGCGCTCTTCGTCCTCCTCCTCCTCCTCCAGCAGCGACTCCGATTGAGGCCACCACCAGGGGCCAGTGGCCACCTCCTGCTGTGGCCACCCCGTGACCACCCCGTGACCACCCCATGACCACCCCATGACCACCCCGTGTCCATCCCGTGTGCCCCCGACCCCCAGGACCACCCGTGGCCATGGCCAAGCGTGTGCCCAGCACCACCCATGAGCAACCAGGAGCATCCAGGACCTCCCATGACCACCAGTGTGAAGCCGTGACCAACCCATGGCCACGTGGGATCTGCATCCATGACCACCCATGACCAGCCATGACCATGTGGGACCTGCTTCTATGGCCATGCGTGACCAGCCATGAGCTTCTGTGTCCACCCGTGACCACACAGAACCATCCATGACCTGCTGGGATGTGCAGCCATGACCACCCATGACCACATGGGACCTGCCTCCATGACCACCCATGATCATATGGGACCTGCATCCATGACCACCCATGACCATGTGGGACCTGCTTCTATGACCATGCATGACCAGCCATGACCACCCATGTCTAACCATGACCACCCAGGAGCATCCATGAGCATCTGTGACCACCCATGACCATCACTGTGAAGACCCCCCTTGACCACCAGTGTGAAGCTGTGACCAATCCATGACCACGTGGGACCTGCATCCATGACCACCCATGACCACGTGGGACCTGCATCCATGACCACCCATGACCACGTGGGACCTGCATCCATGACCACCCATGACCACGTGGGACCTGCCTCCATGACCACCCATGATCACATGGGACATGCACCCATGACCACCCATGACCACGTGGGACCTGCATCCATCACCACCCATGATCACATGGGACCTGCATCCATGACCACCCATGACCATGTGGGACCTGCATCCATGACCACCCATGACCACCTGGGACCTGCATCCATGACCACCCATGACCACATGGGACCTGCATCCATCACCACCCATGACCACGTGGGACCTGCATCCATCACTACCCATGACCACATGGGACCTGCATCCATCACCACCCATGACCACGTGGGACCTGCATCCATCACCACCCATGACCACGTGGGACCTGCATCCATCACCACCCATGACCATGTGGGACCTGCATCCATCACTACCCATGACCACGTGGGACCTGCATCCATCACCACCCATGACCACGTGGGACCTGCATCCATCACCACCCATGACCACGTGGGACCTGCATCCATCACTACATGGGACCTGCATCCATGACCACCCATGACCACGTGGGACCTGCATCCATCACCACCCATGACCACGTGGGACCTGCATCCATCACCATATGGGACCTGCATCCATGACCACCCATGACCAAGCAGGACCTCCGTGGGTGCTCCTGTGTCCATCCATGACCACGTGTGCCCAACCTGGACCTCCCATGTCCTGCTGCTCCCCCCATGTCCCCTCAGCCCGCAGGCAGGCCCTGGGTGCTGGGGGGCGCTGGGGGATGCTGGGGTGCCCCCGCTGTTCCCCAATAAAGCCCTGGGACCCCCCATTGTGTCAGTGTCTCCTTTGTGCCCTTGGGGGGTGGGGGAACAGCCCCTGTCAGCATGGGGGGGGGGAAACCTGCCCTGTGGCCTCCAACCTGCCCCCCTGCTTCCTTCTTGCCCCCATTGCCCCCCGTTATTGCCCCTCATGGCCCCACTACCCCCCCTTGGCCTCTTCTTGCTCCCCTTATACCCCTTGTCCCCCTCCAGATGCCAATTGCCCCCATGGTTCCCATTGCCCCCTTCTTGCCCCCCGTTGTTGCCCCATGCAGCCCCCCATGTCCCCATTACTCTCCTGTTACCCCATTGTCATTTTATTGAGCCTTTATACCCCATTATTGCCCTCTTTGTACCCGATTATTGCCCTCTTTATACCCCATTATCGCCCCTCTTATACCCCATTATTGCCCTCTTTGTACCCCATTATTGCCCTCTTATACCCCACTATTGCCCCTTTATACCTCATTATTGCCCCTTTACACTCCATTATTGCTCTCCTTATACACCGTTATTGCCCCCTTATATCCCGTTATTGCCCTCTTTATACCCCATTATCGCCCATCGTATACCCCATTATTGCCCTCTTTGTACCCCATTATTGCCCTCTTATACCCCACTATTGCCCCTTTATACCCCATTATTGCCCCTTTACACTCCATTATTGCTCTCTTTATACACCATTATTGCCCCCTTATATCCCATTATCACCCCCTTTATACCCCATTATTGCCTTCTTTATACTACATTATTGCCCCCTTTATACCCTGTTATTGCCCCCTTATATCCCGTTATCTCCCCTCATACCCCATTATTGCCCCCTTATGCCCCGCTATTGCCCCTTTATACCCCATTATTGCCCCTTATACCCTGCTATTGCCCCTTTATACCCCATTATTGCCCCCTTTAGACCCCATTATTGCCTTCTTTATGTTACATTATTTTCCCCTTCATACCCCGTTATCGTCCCCCTTACATCCCCATTATAGCCCCTGTATACCCCGTTATTGTCCCCCTTACATCCCCATTATAGCCCCTGTATACCCCGTTATTGCCCCCCTTACATCCCCATTATAGCCCCCTTCATACCCCGTTATTGCCCCCCTTACATCCCCATTATAGCCCCTGTATACCCCATTATCGTCCCCCTTACATCCCCATTATAGCCCCCTTTATACTCCGTTATTGCCCCCCTTGCATCCACATTATAGCCCCTGTATACCCCGTTATTGCCCCCCTTACATCCCCATTATAGCCCCCTTTCCACCCCGTTATTGCCCCCCTTACATCCCCATTATAGCCCCTTTATACCCCGTTATTGCCCCCCTTACATCCCCATTATAGCCCCTGTATACCCCGTTATTGTCCCCCTTACATCCCCATTATAGCCCCTGTATACCCCGTTATTGCCCCCCTTACATCCCCATTATAGCCCCTGTATGCCCCGTTATTGCCCCCCTTACATCCCCATTATAGCCCCTGTATACCCTGTTATTGCCCCCCTTACATCCCCATTATAGCCCCTGTATACCCTGTTATTGCCCCCCTTACATCCCCATTATAGCCCCTTTATACCCCGTTATTGCCCCCTTACATCCCCATTATAGCCCCTTTATACCCCGTTATTGCCCCCCTTACATCCCCATTATAGCCCCTTTATACCCCGTTATTGCCCCCTACATCCCCATATAGCCCCTCCACCCCGTTATTGTCCCCCTTACATCCCCATTATAGCCCCTGTATACCCCGTTATTGCCCCCCTTACATCCCCATTATAGCCCCCTTTATACCCCGTTATTGCCCCCCTTACATCCCCATTATAGCCCCTGTATACCCCGTTATTGCCCCCTTACATCCCCATTATAGCCCCCTTTATACCCCGTTATTGCCCCCCTTACATCCCCATTATAGCCCCTTTATACCCCGTTATTGCCCCCCTTACATCCCCATTATAGCCCCCTTTATACCCCGTTATTGCCCCCCTTACATCCCCATTATAGCCCCTGTATACCCCGTTATTGTCCCCCTTACATCCCCATTATAGCCCCCTGTATACCCCGTTATTGCCCCCTTACATCCCCATTATAGCCCCCTTTATACCCCGTTATTGCCCCCTTACATCCCCATTATAGCCCCCTTTATACCCCGTTATTGCCCCCCTTACATCCCCATTATAGCCCCTGTATACCCCGTTATTGCCCCCCTTACATCCCCATTATAGCCCCTTATACCCCGTTATTGCCCCCCTTACATCCCCATTATAGCCCCTGTATACCCCGTTATTGCCCCCCTTACATCCCCATTATAGCCCCCTTTATACCCCGTTATTGCCCCCCTTACATCCCCATTATAGCCCCTGTATGCCCCGTTATTGCCCCCCTTACATCCCCATTATAGCCCCCTGTATACCCCGTTATTGCCCCCTTACATCCCCATTATAGCCCCTGTATACCCCGTTATTGTCCCCCTTACATCCCCATTATAGCCCCTGTATACCCCGTTATTGCCCCCCTTACATCCCCATTATAGCCCCCTTTATACCCCGTTATTGCCCCCCTTACATCCCCATTATAGCCCCTGTATACCCCGTTATTGCCCCTTACATCCCCATTATAGCCCCTGTATACCCCGTTATTGCCCCCCTTACATCCCCATTATAGCCCCTGTATCCCCATTCTGCCCCCTTACATCCCCATTATAGCCCCTTTATACCCCGTTATTGCCCCCCTTACATCCCCATTATAGCCCCTGTATGCCCCGTTATTGCCCCCTTACATCCCCATTATAGCCCCCTTTATACCCCGTTATTGCCCCCCTTACATCCCCATTATAGCCCCTGTATGCCCCGTTATTGCCCCCCTTACATCCCCATTATAGCCCCCTTCATACCCCGTTATTGCCCCCCTTACATCCCCATTATAGCCCCTGTATACCCCATTATCGTCCCCCTTACATCCCCATTATAGCCTCTGTATGCCCCATTATTGCCCCCTTACATCCCCATTATTAGCCCTTGTATGCCCCGTTATTGCCCCCTTACAGCCCCATTATAGCCCCCTTTATACCCCGTTATTGCCCTCCTCCAGCCCCCATTGCCCCCCCCAGCCCCTTTCCTTGCCCCTTCACCCCCTTTAATTACCCTCCCTCTTTGCCCCATCCCCTCAGTCCTCCGCTCCGCCGCAGCGCCCCCCTCTCCCGCGGCCGCTCTACCCCGCTCCCTCCCTCTCGGTGGTGCTGCGCGGGGCGGAGCGCGGTGCCCGCTCTGTCCCCGCCCGCGCCGCGCCTCGCTGGTACGTCCGTTTCCGGGTCGGGCCGGGTGTAAATCGCGCCGCCGCCGCCGCCCCCGCCCAGAGCCGCCGCGGCCGCCGCAGCTCGAGCAGCGCCGCCGCTCCCGCCGCTGCCGTCGCTCCCGCCGCCGCCCCCCCCCACCTTCCCTCCCCTCCTCCCCTCCCTCCTCCTCCTCTTCCTCCTCCTCCTCCTCCCGCTCCCGCTCCGCCCGCAGCGCCCTTCTCCCGCCGCCGTTACCGGCGCTGCTCCAGGTAGGCCCGAACCCTTCCCCCTCCCCCCCCCATCCCGTCTCCTCTCCCCGTTTCTCGCTTCCATCCGCTCCCCGTTTCCAGCGCATCGCCGAAGCCTCGGCCTCGCCTACCCCGCTCTGGCCGCTCCCCGCCTCGCGGCGCCCGGCCGCGCCCTCACCACACACCGCGGCCTACGCGCGGCCTAGTCGCGGCCTACCTAGGCCGCGGCCTGCGTGCGCGGCGCGGGGCCGGGCCCGCCCGGGCCGAAGGGGGGGATCGGGGGGGGGGTGGGGGCTCCGCCGCTGCCCCTCCCCCACTGTAACCCCCCTGCCCCCTCCCCACGGCGGGGACGGGGCTGGGGGGGGCTCGTGCGTCACATGGCGGCGGCCCCCCCCCCACCGGTACCGCGGGGGGGGGGGGCCATGATTTTTTTTCCCTTTTTTTGTCTTGTTTTGCTGGTTTTCCACTTTTTAATCTTTTTTTTCATTTTTTTCACCTTTTTTATTGTTATTTTGAATTTTTTCTCCTCATCGGGCCCGGTTTTGCCGCCATCGCGGAGGGGGGGCCGGGCACGAACGCTCCCCCCCCCGGCCTGGTTTGCGGCTCCGCTTCCCCCCAGGCCTGAGCCGCTCCGGGACTTCCCGGTTCCTCCCCCCCACGGCCCGGGCCTGGTTCAGCGCCGCCATCCGGATGTGGCCGCGCTCAGGGTCTCGGTTCCGTCTCCTTCCCCTTTCCCCCCCCCGGATCCCGGTTCGGAGCCGGGATCGGAGCCGCGTTCCCCCCACTTCCCCCTTTAATGGTCCCGTTTTGGGGCCGGATGCGGGTACGGAGCCGCTCGGGGCCGTTTTCCCGCAGGGAAGCCGGGATGGGAGCGCCGGCTCCCGCCTCGGTTCCACTTCCCCCTTTGAATCCCCGCTTGGATTGGGAACGAAGCGCCAGGAGCACAGCGATGCCCATGGGAAGCGAGCTGGGAATGGGATCGGGATCCGAGCTCATAAACAGCCCGGTTCTGCCTTGGCCCTTCCTCTTCCCCCTATGGCTGCCGGGCTCGGATCCTGAGCCCCGCTTCCCACACTGGGAATTCCGCCTGGGTTTATGGAGGTTGAGCCCCGTTTGGTTCCCTCTTAAAGAGCGTTAACCCGGAGCACGATGGGCTTGATCCTGCTGCACCCCTGGGGCTTGGGTGAACCCGGCCTGGAGGAGAAGCCGGAGCTAAAGGAAGTTTAATGGAATTCCCAGTTAAACTGGGGCCCGATCCTTGTGTTTTCCAGCTCGGGGGAGGGGTGGGGGGGGTGCAGGGCACACGTTGGTTGAAACCTGATCGTGTGCTCATGTGGCTTTATCTGCTCGGAGTAAAGCAGCTCGGCCACGGGGCTGGAAAAGCAGTCCCGGCACAGGGAAAAGTTGGGAATTCCGAGTTTCTCTTCCCCGGATGGGGTGAATCCAGCAGGAAACGGGGTTTGTTGGAAAACTCCCGGTCTAGATGAAGCGTTTCAAGCTCTTTGGAGCTGGGGAAGCCTCTGGAGAAGGGCAGGGGATGAGAAGGAGCCTGAGGCCCCACTGGAGCTGGTGGGATTGAGCCCAGGGAGATGCCAGGCAGGAGCCGGGATCGCTGTGGATCAGCTCTGCCCATTGCCCCCTGGAGAGGAGCATCCCCCCAGCTGCCAATGGGGGGTGCTGAGGAAGGAGAATGAGGCACAGAGAGGCTCCAATCCCATGGGATGGCTCCGGAATGGCAGGGAAGGGTTGGGATGAGCCCTCAATCCGGCCCTGTCTTCCCTATAGCTCCGCTCAGCAGTGACCAAAGCCCGGCTCGAGATGGACACCGGGGTCATTGAAGGAGGGTTAAATGTGACGCTCACCATCCGGCTGCTCATGCACGGGAAGGTACGTGCCTGTGGGATGGGGGAATGGCACCGGATCCGCCTCGCTTGGATGCGTTGGAGCTGGCTGCGGGCTTGGGAATGTCGGGAATGTGGCCTTGGCACCTGCCTGGCTCCTGGGCAGCTCAGCAGGGCTTGGGAGCATTAAAAATCCCGGCGTTGGGAAGCAGCTTTGGGAGCATGGAGTTGAGTGGGGCTCCAAAAGGGATGTGTTTAAGCTTGGAACACCCGGAGTTTGGGAAGCACTGAGTAATTCCTGCTTTGTTTCCATCCCAGGAGGTGGGAAGCATCATTGGGAAGGTAAGAGAGCAGCAAAGCCCCAATCCCTGCCCCTCTGCCCCATTCCCGGTGCCCCCCCCAGCCCCTGATGCCTTCTCCCTTCTCTCTCCCGGCACAGAAGGGGGAATCCGTGAAGAAGATGCGGGAGGAGGTGAGTCGGGAACTGGGAATCGCGGCGCTGCCGCGCGGGGCAGGCTGGGAAGTGGAGGCAGAGGCGGCGGGAAGCGGGGCCGGAGAAGATGGCTGCCGGGAGGGATCACAGCAGGGAATCCCCAGGGAGCCGAGGCAGGGAGGAGGGATCAGCACAGGGGGGGCTGAGCCGGGCGAGGAGCATGGAACATGGATGGGGATCATGAGGGATGCATCCTGAACAGAGCAAGGGAGGATGGATCATGGATGGGCATCCTGAGGGATCCATCCTGAACAGAGCAAGGGAGGATGGATCATGGATGGGGATCATGAGGGATCCATCCTGAACAGAGCAAGGGAGGATGGATCATGGATGGGGATCCTGAGGGATGCATCCTGAACAGAGCAAGGGAGGATGGATCATGGATGGGCATCCTGAGGGATCCATCCTGAACAGAGCGAGGGAGGATGGATCATGGATGGGGATCCTGAGGGATCCATCCTGAACAGAGCAAGGGAGGATGGATCATGGATGGGGATCCTGAGGGGTCCATCCTGAACAGAGCGAGGGAGGATGGATCATGGATGGGGATCCTGAGGGATGCATCCTGAACAGAGCAAGGGAGGATGGATCATGGATGGGGATCCTGAGGGATGCATCCTGAACAGAGCAAGGGAGGATGGATCATGGATGGGGATCATGAGGGGTCCATCCTGAACAGAGCAAGGGAGGATGGATCATGGATGGGGATCCTGAGGGATCCATCCTGAACGGAGCAAGGGAGCATGGATCATGGGTGGGGATCATGAGGGATCCATCCTGAACAGAGCAAGGGAGGATGGATCATGGATGGGGATCATGAGGGGTCCATCCTGAACAGAGCAAGGGAGCATGGATCATGGATGGGGATCCTGAGGGATCCATCCTGAACAGAGCAAGGGAGCATGGAACATGGATGGGGATCCTGAGGGATGCATCCTGAACAGAGCGAGGGAGGATGGATCATGGATGGGGATCCTGAGGGATCCATCCTGAACAGAGCAAGGGAGCATGGATCATGGATGGGGATCCTGAGGGATCCATCCTGAACAGAGCAAGGGAGGATGGATCATGGATGGGGATCCTGAGGGATGCATCCTGAACAGAGCAAGGGAGGATGGATCATGGATGGGGATCCTGAGGGATCCATCCTGAACAGAGCAAGGGAGGATGGATCATGGATGGGGATCCTGAGGGATGCATCCTGAACAGAGCAAGGGAGGATGGATCATGGATGGGGATCCTGAGGGATCCATCCTGAACAGAGCAAGGGAGGATGGATCATGGATGGGGATCCTGAGGGATCCATCCTGAACAGAGCAAGGGAGGATGGATCATGGATGGGGATCCTGAGGGATGCATCCTGAACAGAGCAAGGGAGGATGGATCATGGGTGGGCATCCTGAGGGATCCATCCTGAACAGAGCAAGGGAAGATGGATCATGGATGGGGATCCTGAGGGATCCATCCTGAACAGAGCAAGGGAGGATGGATCATGGATGGGGATCCTGAGGGATCCATCCTGAACAGAGCAAGGGAGGATGGATCATGGATGGGCATCCTGAGGGATCCATCCTGAACAGAGCAAGGGAGGATGGATCATGGATGGGGATCCTGAGGGATCCATCCTGAACAGAGCAAGGGAGGATGGATCATGGATGGGGATCCTGAGGGATCCATCCTGAACAGAGCAAGGGAGGATGGATCATGGATGGGGATCCTGAGGGATCCATCCTGAACAGAGCAAGGGAGGATGGATCATGGATGGGGATCCTGAGGGATGCATCCTGAACAGAGCAAGGGAGGATGGATCATGGATGGGGATCCTGAGGGATCCATCCTGAACAGAGCAAGGGAGGATGGATCATGGATGGGGATCCTGAGGGGTCCATCCTGAACAGAGCAAGGGAGCATGGATCATGGATGGGGATCCTGAGGGATGCATCCTGAACAGAGCAAGGGAGGATGGATCATGGATGGGGATCCTGAGGGATCCATCCTGAACAGAGCAAGGGAGGATGGATCATGGATGGGGATCCTGAGGGATCCATACTGAAGGGAGCAAGGGAGGAATAGGATGGGGATCCTGAGGGCTCCATCCTGAACAGAGCAAGGGAGCATGGATCATGGATGGGGATCCTGAGGGATCCATTCTGAAGGGAGCAAGGGAGGATGGATCATGGGTGGGGATCCTGAGGGGTCCATCCTGAACAGAGCAAGGGAGGATGGATCATGGATGGGATCATGAGGGATGCATCCTGAACAGAGCAAGGGAGGATGGATCATGGATGGGGATCCTGAGGGGTCCATCCTGAACAGAGCAAGGGAGGATGGATCATGGCTGGGGATCCTGAGGGATCCATCCTGAACAGAGCAAGGGAGGATGGATCATGGATGGGGATCCTGAGGGATGCATCCTGAACAGAGCAAGGGAGGATGGATCATGGATGGGGATCCTGAGGGATGCATCCTGAACAGAGCAAGGGAGGATGGATCATGGGTGGGGATCCTGAGAGATCCATCCTGAACAGAGCAAGGGAGGATGGATCATGGATGGGGATCCTGAGGGATCCATCCTGAACGGAGCGAGGGAGGATGGATCATGGATGGGGATCCTGAGGGATTCATCCTGAACAGAGCAAGGGAGGATGGATCATGGATGGGGATCCTGAGGGGTCCATCCTGAACAGAGCAAGGGAGCATGGATCATGGATGGGGATCCTGAGGGATGCATCCTGAACAGAGCAAGGGAGGATGGATCATGGATGGGGATCCTGAGGGATGCATCCTGAACAGAGCAAGGGAGGATGGATCATGGATGGGGATCCTGAGGGATGGATCCTGAACGGAGCGAGGGAGGATGGATCATGGGTGGGGATCCTGAGGGATTCATCCTGAACAGAGCAAGGGAGGATGGATCATGGATGGGGATCCTGAGGGATGCATCCTGAACAGAGCAAGGGAGGGTTTAGTGCTGCTGGGAATCCGGATGGATCCACACTGACCGGATCAGGGTCGCTTTCAGCACTGCTGAGGGAATCCTGCAGGATCTGCATGGAGCCAAGAGGATTCCTCACTATGGGAAGTGCTGCGGGTCCCACCCCAGCTGAGCAATGCAGGGAGGGCTCCTCTCTGTGCACAATCCCAATGGATCCCCACTGCACCACGCAAGGGAGGGTCTGTCCCTAGTGGGGAATCCCAAGGGATCCCGGGGTGCTGAGGGCTCCTCTTCCCACAGAGCGGCGCCCGCATCAACATCTCCGAAGGGAATTGTCCCGAGCGGATCATCACCCTCGCTGGCCCCACCAATGCCATCTTCAAAGCTTTTGCCATGATCATTGACAAACTGGAAGAGGTGAGTGCAGCCTCCAGCCCTTCCCTGGATGGGTGATGGTCCCCTTGGATCCACCCCGGAGCACGCAGGAGCCTCATTCCCATGGGATGAGCACTGGGATGGGCTTGTTCCACTTGGCCATGGGGGGCCTGCTCTTTGCTCTGCTGCCAGCTCAGGGGCCAGGGATGAACCCTCCCTGGGTGCCCTCAATGGTTGAGGCCTGGGATCCACAGGGATGTGGAATGCCCTGGCTTGGTTCATCCATTGGGCAGGGGGATGATTCCCTTCCACTGCACCTCAGCTCCAGCCCTGCCAAGGAGGGGGCCTGGGGGTGCAGAGCTGCATCGTGCCCCTGCTCCTGTTGAATCGGCTTCCAGGAGGGATGCTGGGCCTGGACAACCTGGATGGGGGCGTTAGAGCCTGCTCAGGTGATGGTGTTGAGCTTCCATCCCACTCCATGTCCGTTGGAAGGCTGGAGCGCTCTTTACCCGGGGCTGAGCTCCACAGCCCTCGCCTTGCTTCTGGGGGTGAAAACCCCGTTTCCATTCGGATTTGGGGTCCTTCCCTATGGAGGAGACGGCCCCAGGGCCTCCCTGCTGCTGAAACCGAGCTGTTTGTGCTGGAGGCTTCCAAGTGCTCCCGGTCCCATCCCAGCTCCCACATTCCAAGCACTGGGCTTGGAGTTAAAGCTTTATTTTAGGTCTGAGCCATGGCCTTGGGCCTCCTCCCCCTTGAGCACATGACGGCTGCCACCCGTGCCAGGCCTGTTCTGTGCCTGCTGCTGCTCTGATCCCGGTACTGGGAATGCCGAGCTCCAGCACAGCCTGTTCCCAGTTGGGATGCGCCCCCCCCCCAGTGCTACACTGGGCTGTGGGGAGGGGTTAAACCCCCCTTCCCATGCAGACAACGCAGAACTTGGCTGCTTCATCCATCCTCCCCCTGCCATTGCTGGGAATAGGGCCGGGAGACACCCGGGGTCACCTTGGCCTGGGCTGCGGTGCCAGGATCACCCCCCCCTACCCCAATCCATTCATCCCAGTGAGTGCCTCCTCTTCCCACAGGACATCAGCAGCTCCATGACCAACAGCACGGCCGCCAGCCGGCCCCCGGTCACCCTGCGGCTCGTGGTGCCCGCCAGCCAGTGCGGGTCCCTCATTGGCAAGGGAGGCTGCAAGATCAAGGAGATCCGAGAGGTGCGTGCGGCCCCGCACCAGGGATCCCAGGGTGCCCCAAGGGGTGAATCCATGCCCCAGCCCCAGCCTGGGATCGCTCCTTGGGAGCTCGCTGTATTGGTAGTGCTGGTGAAACCCAGCCTGGGGCAGTCCCTCCCCTTCCCAGCACTGGGTTCCTGCTCCCTGCGTCCCAGGGCTGTTGGTATCTCCCTGTCTCCAGTGTTGTCCCAGTTGTTGGAGGGAGGGATCACGCTTCCAGGCCTCACTTGGTGCCATTTAACACTGGTCCATGTCCCCCTAGGCCTGGATGGGTTAACCCTGGTCCATGCCTCCCTGGGATGGGATAGGTTAACCCAGGTCCATGTCCCCCTGGGCTGTGATGGGTTAAACCTGGTCCATGTCCCCCTGGTCTGGGTTAACCCTGGTCCATGTACCCTAGGGCTGTGATGGGTTAACCCTGGTCCATGTCCCCTAGGGCTGGGATGGGTTAACCCTGGTCCATGTCCCCTAGGGCTGTGATGGGTTAACCCTGGTCCATGTCCCTCTGAGCTGTGATGGGTTAACCCTGGTCCATGTCCCTCTGAGCTGTGATGGGTTAACCCTGGTCCATGTCCCCTTGGGCTGTGATGGGTTAACCCTGGTCCCTGTCCCCCTGGGCTGGGATGGGTTAACCCTGGTCCATGCCCCATAGGGCTGTGATGGGTTAACCCTGGTCCATGTCCCTCTGAGCTGTGATGGGTTAACCCTGGTCCATGTCCCCTTGGGCTGTGATGGCTTAACCCTGGTCCATGTACCCCTGGGCTGTGATGGGTTAACCCTGGTCCATGTACCCCTAGGCCTGGATGGGTTAACCCTGGTCCATGTCCCCTAGGGCTGTGATGGGTTAACCCTGGTCCATGTCCCCCTGGGCTGTGATGGGTTAACCCTGGTCCATGTCCCCTAGGGCTGTGATGGGTTAACCCTGGTCCATGTCCCTCTGGGCTGGATGGGTTTACCCTGGTCCTGCCCCCCAGGGCTGTGATGGGTTAACCCTGGTCCATGTCCCTCTGGGCTGTGATGGGTTAACCCTGGTCCATGCCCCCCTGGCTGTGATGGGTTAACCCTGGTCCATGTCCCTCTGGGCTGTGATGGGTTAACCCTGGTCCATGTCCCCCTGGGCTGTGATGGGTTAACCCTGGTCCATGTCCCCCTGGCTGGGATAGGTTAACCCTGGTCCCTGTCCCCCAGGGCTGTGATGGGTTAACCCTGGTCCATGTCCCCCAGGGCTGTGATGGGTTAACCCTGGTCCATGTCCCCCAGGGCTGTGATGGGTTAACCCTGGTCCCTGTCCCCCAGGGCTGTGATGGGTTAACCCTGGTCCTGCCCCCCTGGGATGTGATGGGTTAACCCTGGTCCATGTCCCCCTGGCTGGGATAGGTTAACCCTGGTCCATGTCCCTCTGAGCTGTGATGGGTTAACCTTGGTCCATGTCCCTCTGAGCTGTGATGGGTTAACCCTGGTCCATGCCCCCTAGGGCTGTGATGGGTTAACCCTGGGCCATGTCCCCACTGGGCTGTGATGGGTTAACCCTGGTCCATGCCCCCTACGGCTGTGTTGGGTTAACCCTGGTCCATGTCCCCCTGGGCTGTGATGGGTTAACCCTGGTCCATGCCCCCTACGGCTGTGATGGGTTAACCCTGGTCCATGTCCCCCTGGGCTGTGATGGGTTAACCCTGGTCCATGTCCCTCTGAGCTGTGATGGGTTAACCCTGGTCCATGTCCCATAGGGCTGTGATGGGTTAACCCTGGTCCATGCTCCCCTGGGCTGTGATGGGTTAACCCTGGTCCATGCCCTCTGGGCTGTGATGGGTTAACCCTGGTCCATGTCCCCTAGGGCTGTGATGGGTTAACCCTGGTCCATGTCCCCCTGGTCTGGGTTAACCCTGGTCCATGTCCCCTAGGGTTGGGACGGGTTAACCCTGGTCCATGTCCCTCTGAGCTGTGATGGGTTAACCCTGGTCCCTGTCCCCCAGGGCTGTGATGGGTTAACCCTGGTCCATGGCCCCTAGGGCTGTGATGGGTTAACCCTGGTCCATGTCCCCCTGGGCTGGGATGGGTTAACCCTGGTCCATGCCCCATAGGGCTGTGATGGGTTAACCCTGGTCCATGCCCCATAGGGCTGTGATGGGTTGACCCTGGTCCATGCTCCCCTGGGCCTGGATGGGTTAACCCTGGTCCATGTCCCTCTGGGCTGTGATGGGTTAACCCTGGTACATGCCCCCCTGGTCTGGGTTAACCCTGGTCCATGTCCCCCTGGGCCTGGATGGGTTAACCCTGGTCTCTGCCCTCCTGGGCCTGGATGGGTTAACCCTGGTTCAAGTCCCCCAGGGCTGTGATGGGTTAACCCTGGTCCATGCCCCCCTAGGGCTGTGATGGGTTAACCCTGGTCCATGTCCCTCTGGGCTGTGATGGGTTAACCCTGGTCCATGTCCCCTAGGGTTGGGACGGGTTAACCCTGGTCCCTGCCCCCCTGGGCTGTGATGGGTTAACCCTGGTCCCTGTCCCCTGGGCTGTGATGGGTTAACCCTGGTCCATGTCCCACTTGGCTGGGATGGGTTAACCCTGGTCCATGCCCCCTAGGGCTGTGATGGGTTAACCCTGGTCCATGTCCTTCTGAGCTGTGATGGGTTAACCCTGGTCCATGTCCCTCTAGGCTGTGATGGGTTAACCCTGGTCCATGCCCCCTAGGGCTGTGATGGGTTAACCCTGGTCCATGTCCTTCTGAGCTGTGATGGGTTAACCCTGGTCCATGTCCCTCTAGGCTGTGATGGGTTAACCCTGGTCCATGCCCCCTAGGGCTGTGATGGGTTAACCCTGGTCCATGTCCTTCTGAGCTGTGATGGGTTAACCCTGGTCCATGTCCCTCTAGGCTGTGATGGGTTAACCCTGGTCCATGCCCCCTAGGGCTGTGATGGGTTAACCCTGGTCCATGTCCTTCTGAGCTGTGATGGGTTAACCCTGGTCCATGTCCCTCTAGGCTGTGATGGGTTAACCCTGGTCCATGCCCCCTAGGGCTGTGATGGGTTAACCCTGGTCCATGTCCTTCTGAGCTGTGATGGGTTAACCCTGGTCCATGTCCCACTTGGCTGTGATGGGTTAACCCTGGTCCATGCCCCCTAGGGCTGTGATGGGTTAACCCTGGTCCATGTCCCTCTGGGCCTGTATGTGTTAACTCTACCCCGCTGCACCCAAACCCTCCTCTCCTGCCCCAGGCTCCCAAATAATTTCCATCTAGGATTAAAGGATTTTGATGCTCGGATGGGGGGGGGCAATGGGGGAGCAAGGGGAAGGGGGGGCTGGCTATGTATAACCCTGCTGCAGGCTTTGCTGCTGAGGTCAGAGCCCTCCCCAGGCCCTCACAGCCTATTTTTACCCCTGGCCAGAGCACGGGGGCACAGGTCCAGGTGGCCGGGGACATGCTGCCCAACTCCACCGAGCGAGCCATCACCATCGCTGGGATCCCACAGTCCATCATCGAGTGTGTCAAACAGATCTGCGTCGTCATGCTGGAGGTAGGGCCCCCCCTCCCTTCCCAGCTGGAGCTGGTTGTGTCCCATTGGGAATGCAGGGATCCCTCCTGGCGAGTGGAAAACGCTGAGGAGGGACAAATGGGGGGTAAAGGGATAGTGGGGATTATGGCCTCCTCTAGGGGAGGCTTAAACCAGCGTTGAGCCAGGCCTCTAGAGCTGCCTGGAGGAGCAGGTTCTGATGGCCCTGACACCCTCCTGCTCCTTGGGTGTCCTCCTGACACCCTCCTTGCTCTTTGGGTGTCCTCCCTCAGTCCCTTGCCCATCATGGGGACAGAATGGGGTTGCTCTGCCTCCTCCCATAGGCCTGATTTTGAACCCAAAGCAGAGCCTTGTTGTACACAGCAGCATCCTGCTGTCCCTTGTCACCCTCTGTGCTCCTTGGGTGTCCTCCTTCAGTCCCTTGTCACCCTCTGTGCTCATTGGGTGTCCTCCCTCAGTCCCATTGCCAGCATGGGGACAGAATGGGGTTGCTCTGCCTCCTCCCATAGGGCTGATTTTGAACCCAAAGCAGAGCCTTGTTGTACACAGCAGCATCCTGCTGTCCCTTGTCACCCTCTGTGCTCCTTGGATGTCCTCCTTCAGTCCCTTGTCACCCTCTGTGCTCCTTGGGTGTCCTCCCTCAGTCCCTTGCCCACCATGGGAAGGAATGGGGTTGCTCTGCCTCCTCCCATAGGGCTGATTTTGAGCCCAAAGCAGAGCTTTAATATGCAGGGTTCAGCATCCTCTGTACCCTCTCTGCTCCTTGGGTGTCCTCCCTCAGTCCCATTGCCAGCATGGGGAGGGAACGGGATGCTCTGCTCCCTCCCATAGGGCTGGCTTTGAACCCAGAGCAGAGCAGCAGTGTGCAGGGTACGGTGTCCTGCCTCCCCATGTTGCCCTCTTTGGTTCTTGGGTGTCCTCCCTCAGTCCCATTGCCAGCATGGGGAAGGAATGGGGTTGTTTTGCTCCCTCCCAAAGGGCCGATTCTGAGCCCAGAGGGGCCGATTCTGGTCCCAGAGGGGCCGATTCTGGTCCCAGAGGGGCCGATTCTGGTCCCAGAGGGGCCCATTCTGAGCCCAGAGGGGTCCATTCTGATCCCAGAGGGGTCGATTCTGATCCCAGAGGGGTCCATTCTGAGCCCAGAGGGGCCCATTCTGATCCCAGAGGGGTCCATTCTGAGCCCAGAGGGGTCCATTCTGAGCCCAGAGGGGTCCATTCTGAGCCCAGAGGGGTCCATTCTGAGCCCAGAGGGGTCCATTCTGAGCCCAGAGGGGTCCATTCTGAGCCCAGAGGGGTCCATTCTGAGCCCAGAGGGGCCCATTCTGGTCCCAGAGGGGCCCATTCTGAGCCCAGAGGGGTCCATTCTGAGCCCAGAGGGGTCCATTCTGAGCCCAGAGGGGTCCATTCTGAGCCCAGAGGGGCCCATTCTGGTCCCAGAGGGGCCCATTCTGGTCCCAGAGGGGCCCATTCTGAGCCCAGAGGGGTCCATTCTGAGCCCAGAGGGGTCCATTCTGAGCCCAGAGGGGTCGATTCTGAGCCCAGAGGGGTCCATTCTGAGCCCAGAGGGGTCCATTCTGAGCCCAGAGGGGCCGATTCTGATCCCAGAGGGGTCCATTCTGAGCCCAGAGGGGTCGATTCTGAGCCCAGAGGGGTCCACTCTGAGCCCAGAGGGGTCCACTCTGAGCCCAGAGGGGCCGATTCTGAGCCCAGAGGGGTCGATTCTGAGCCCAGAGGGGCCCATTCTGAGCCCAGAGGGGTCCATTCTGAGCCCAGAGGGGCCCATTCTGAGCCCAGAGGGGTCGATTCTGAGCCCAGAGGGGTCGATTCTGAGCCCAGAGGGGTCCATTCTGAGCCCAGAGGGGCCCATTCTGAGCCCAGAGGGGTCTATTCTGAGCCCAGAGGGGCCGATTCTGAGCCCAGAGGGGTCCATTCTGAGCCCAGAGGGGCCGATTCTGAGCCCAGAGGGGCCCATTCTGAGCCCAGAGGGGCCCATTCTGAGCCCAGAGGGGCCCATTCTGAGCCCAGAGGGGTCCATTCTGAACCCAGAGGGGCCGATTCTGAGCCCAGAGGGGTCGATTCTGAGCCCAGAGGGGCCCATTCTGATCCCAGAGGGGTCGATTCTGAGCCCAGAGGGGTCGATTCTGAGCCCAGAGGGACCCATTCTGATCCCAGAGGGGCCCATTCTGAGCCCAGAGGGGCCCATTCTGAGCCCAGAGGGGCCCATTCTGAGCCCAGAGGGGCCCATTCTGAGCCCAGAGGGGTCGATTCTGAGCCCAGAGGGGCCCATTCTGAGCCCAGAGGGGCCCATTCTGAGCCCAGAGGGGCCCATTCTGAGCCCAGAGGGGCCGATTCTGAGCCCAGAGGGGTCCATTCTGAGCCCAGAGGGGCCCATTCTGAGCCCAGAGGGGCCCATTCTGAGCCCAGAGGGGCCCATTCTGAGCCCAGAGGGGCCCATTCTGAGCCCAGAGGGGTCCATTCTGAGCCCAGAGGGGTCCATTCTGAGCCCAGAGGGGTCCATTCTGAGCCCAGAGGGGTCCATTCTGAGCCCAGAGGGGTCGATTCTGAGCCCAGAGGGGTCCATTCTGAGCCCAGAGGGGTCCATTCTGAGCCCAGAGGGGTCCATTCCGATCCCAGAGGGGTCCATTCTGATCCCAGAGGGGTCCATTCTGATCCCAGAGGGGCCCATTCTGAGCCCAGAGGGGTCCATTCTGATCCCAAAGGGGCTGATTCTGATCCCAAAGGGCTTATTCTGATCCCAAAGGGCTGACTCTGAGCCCAGAGCCCAGTGATGCTCTGCAGGGCACTGGGTGGGGGGTGCATGGCCGCTGCGGTGCTGCTCTGTGTGACTCTGCTCTCTGCCTGTCCCCAGTCTCCCCCGAAGGGTGTCACCATCCCGTACCGGCCCAAGCCATCCAGCTCTCCCGTCATCTTTGCAGGTGGTCAGGTAAGGCCTCTGCTCTGCTCCTGGGGTGCGGGATGGGAACGGGATAGGATGGGATTGGGGGGGGCTCACCGTGGCCGCAACGCGGGCCTGTCACCCATGGGTCTGAGCCTCCCAGAGCCTGCTCCAATGGGGGATGAGGGCAGGGGTGGGATGGGGGGGCCCGAAAGGGCTGATGTGGGGGTTAAGAAGAGCTGGCAAAGAACCCCAGCACCCCAAAGCCCCCCATGGTGGCAGCAGTTGGGGGGGGGGGATTGGATCAGGCCAAGATATTCCAGTGGCCAAACGCAGGCTCTGCCCCATCCATGGGGCTGGCTCCGAGGCCTCGGTGTGACCTGGTGTGGGTGACCGGCCCTGAGGGGTTTATGGGGGCATGAAGGGGGGGGTGTTTGTTTTGGGGGGGGGGGGCAAAGGCCCCTCGTGTTGTGGGGTGGGGTTTGGGTGCGGAAAGGCTTCGTCTCGCTCGAGGGGAGGGTGCAGATAGGAGTAGCCATGAGGTGAGGTGGGGATGGAGCTGGGCCAGGGGAGCCGCTGCCACCTGCATGGGCTCCCTTGGGTCCTGTCTGCTGTGAAGCCCTGACCCCCCCTACCCCGGCCCTGTTTGGGGTCTGGGGGTGCTGCTTGGTTGGTGGTGGGGGGGTGTCCAGGCTGCTTGGGCAAGGCAGGAGGCTCAGGCCCGGGTGTTGGTGATGCTCTCCCCACCCTGCGGCTCCCAGGGTTGCCTTAAGGCTTTGGGGGGCAGAGACCCCACGGATACTGGTGCAGACGGAGATCCCTCGGGATGAGCCAGCCCTGGGGGCTGCTATTGGCATTCCAGAGGCAGGGAATGGGGTAGCTGCTGCCGGCCTCCCCCCCCCCACAACCCCAAGCCAGCCCTGACTCTGCTCCCCACCAGGCTGGTGCCACGCTTGATTCGGGGAACCCCCCCCCCCAGCCCCCCAAAACCCCTTCACCCTCCCTGCCTCTTCCTCCTCCCCTTCCCACCTCTCCAAGAGCTTCCCCTGCCGCTCTGCACCCCGGGGGATGCTCCCGCTTTGGCCGGTACACCCCTGGCTACGTGCCCCCCCCCCCAAAGAGCCCCATGGCAGGGGGGGTCTGTACCGTGTGCCCCCCCCCCGGTGGCGCGGGAGCGGCCGCCTTCCCCCATTAGAGCAGTGAGGAGCAGGCTTCCCTCCCTCTTCCCCTTTCTCTTCTCCCCCCCATCCTCCTCTTCCATCCCTTTCCCCCCCAACTTTGGGCCAGGCCGATGCAGGCGCCCGGACCCCGCTCCCGGTGGTGTCTTTGCAGCTTCAGAACCGTGCTTTTTAGAGGCAGGTTTAAAGCCCTCGACCAGCAGAGCTCCAAGTGGCGATGGTGACTTTTGGTGTTAGGGTTTCGGATTGACAGCCCTGGAGACTGAAGCCCTCTAATTTATCCACAGGACAGGTACAGCAGCGGCAGTGCGAACTACCCCCACACCGCCCCATCCATGTGCCTCAACTCTGACTTGGAGGGACCACCTCAGGAGGTGAGAGGGGAGTTCAGTCTCCACGGCCTGTTCAATCCTATGGCCTCTCTGAGACTGCCAACAAGGGTGGCATCCCCGTCCCCCCGTCCCCCCCCCCCCCCCAATAAACCCCCGTCATCCCGGTGGCTTTTGTGCTGTGGACTCCTGTCCACTGGGAACTGGACTCTGAGCCCACCAACCTCTCCTCACGCAGGCCACCCGGCAGCCACTGCATGGCAACGAACTTGGGCCAATTCCAGCCTGGGCTGCAGTTCTTCCGGTGACCTGGAAGTGAGGCTGTGTACCCCCCTCTCCCCCCCTTCTCCCACCCATCCCCAACCTGCCCGGCCCCCTTCAACCCCCCCATAAGCCTTTAGCCAGCCAGGCCCCCCCATCCCACCCCACCCCACCCCAAGCCAGTGACTTGCCCTTTCTGGGTAGCTTCAGGAAGCATCTGAAGTCTGTGGCTGTCCCTTAACCTCCAGACATGGAACTGTGGCAGGTCAGGCTCTCAGCCTCGTGTGCCCCCCCCCGACCCCAATGCCTCTCTTTTGCCTTGTCTAGCATCAGTAGCCAGCTCCAGCATTGCCTCTAGCTTGCCCGGCGACGTTCCCTAGGTGTGGAAGTGACGAGAGGACTCGGATTGGGATTTTTGGATGGAATTGCCATTGGGGAGGGTGTTTTTTTGGGGTTGGGGGGGTTTGGGTTTGTTTAAGCCGGGCCGAGGAGGGGGCCGGGAGCTAAAGCAGGGCTTGGTTGGGGTCTTGGAGCTCTTCCCCTGTTGGCGAGGGGGGGGCGCAGGGCTAGAAGCATTGTTGGACTCCACCACACCATAACATCTTCATCAAGATCCCAGCCCGTTGTGTCGTCTTCTCTTATTTTTGGTGTGTTATTTTTTTTGTCTGCCACTTTGCTGTTTAATTTTTGGTGGTTTTTTTCTCTCTCTTTTTTATTTTTGGTGGTTTTTTTATTTTTTTGGTGTTTTTTTGTTATTTTTTTGGGGGGGACGGCAACCAAACCTGGCCATTCCCACCCCAAAACGCCACCTCGAGGCCAATTTGAGGCTAGAAACTGCTCGTTCCAGCATTGATCCGTCCCTTGCCTCTCCCTGCCCCACTTCCCTCGCCCCGGAGAACTCTCCACTTGGCTCTCTGACTTCCTGGCTAGTTGAAATCTCTCTGTCCCTGGGTGGCTGTCCGATGGTTGTTAATAGGACTCTTTTCCTCCTTTTTGTAGGCCTATACCATTCAAGGACAGTATGCCATTCCACAGCCAGATGTAAGTTTTGTTTACAACTTCTTGTCTTCAAATCCACCCCTTTTCCCCTTTCCCCCCCCCCCGAACCCCGGTCCAAAACCAACCACGTTCTCCGTGCTCTCTCGACTCGAGCCGTTGGGGCTCAATGATCTGAGCTGAGCTTTCCCCCCCAAAAAAGCTCCCCCTCCTGCAGCCAGCTTCACCCGGCCTCAGGTCCTTCCTTTTGCCTTCCCTTTCTGACACTTCCCCTCCTTTCCTTTCCTTGCTCCCAGATGTCATTTTTGTCGTCCCCCCCCCCTTTCCTTTCCCTATTCCCAGCTTGGCCATTTCACACCAGTTCCAGCTCCTTAAACCCCTCGGGAGGAAGCCAGAGCAGCACCCCATGGGTCACTCTCTTGGTGGCTCTCCCAGGGCACTGGGGGACAAGGAAAAAAGGGGGGGTTTGAGCCCAGCCCTGCTGGGTTAGGAGGGGGGGAACCCCATGGCATCCCACCGGCGCTGTTGGCCACCACCATCCTCGGCACCATGCTCATCCCGTAGGGCTGATCTCTGCTCCTGGCACCCATAGAGCAGTCATTGGGGGGGGTTGGATGCAACCAGGCCAGGGAGGAGAAGGGCTTAGAAGGAAGCTGGGCTATAAAAGAGCTTCTCTGGCGGCTGGACCGAGCCGGGCTCCATCCCCACGTCCCCCCTGTCCCCCTCTTGCTGCTCCCTGCATGGCATGGGGCAGCCCCTGCCCTTTCCTCTCTGCTTCTGTCCCTGAGCTCCTCTTTCACCATGGGGTGGGCACAGCGCCCCCCCACCCACCCAGCCCACCTTGGCCTGGAGCCTGCCCCTTCCATGGGGCTGGGGGAAAGAGGGGGGCCCGGTGCCGATGGCAGTGTCTGCGTTGATGGGCTTGGGAAATGGCTAACGTCAGCCTTTGTCTCTCCTCTAGCTGACCAAGCTGCACCAGTTGGCAATGCAACAGTCACCCTTTCCAATACCTCATGGCAACACTGGATTCAGTGGTATGGAAACTCCTTCTCTCTTGCGTGTGCTTAGCGTGGCTCAGGGGCCTCGCAAACGGCCCCAAACCAAACGTGCCCCCCCCATAACCCCCCCCAGGTAACCCTATTGGGGGTGACTTTGGTACCGGCCACAGGGGGTAAGAGGCAGAACATCACCACAGAGGAGCCCCCGAGCAGGCAGGGCCTCCGTGCTGCTTCCCTTCCTCATCACCCTCACCCTCCACAGCTCTGCCGATGCACTTGGAGCCCCCCCCCTTACCCCATAGCACCCCTTCTTTCCCCTCTGGCTACTCCAGTCCTGACCAGGCAACTGTTGAGTTGTGGCCCCCCCCTTCCCCGACCCCAAAATCTGCTGTAGATGTGCTAAGGTGGCTGAAATACCCACGTGGGGCTCTCAGCTTGAGGCACCCAAAACTCATTGTCCCTTGTATCTTGACAGGCGTTGAATCCAGCTCTCCAGAGGTGAAAGGCTATTGGGGTAATGATTGAACACCAAGATGTGTAGTTCCTCTCTCGTGTATGGATCCCACCCGGGCTCTCCTGCTCCCTCTTAAACACCCCCTTGCCTCTGTGCACGGATGGGAGGGGGAAAAAGGGGGGTTCAGGGGAGCTTCAGAAGGGCTGGAGGTACCCCCTGGCAGTGCAGTGGAGAGCAGCAGGGCTCGGTGGAGGCCTTGAGCCCCCCTTCCTTTTACCCCCAGCCTTGTGCTGAAGGGGAGCAGCCCCGTTGTTGCTGGAGCCATTCGCCTGCCCTTAGTGCTGGTGGCAAAGGGGGGACACCCAGGTTGTGTCCCCACACTGCTTCCACCGCCCCATAGCCCTGGGGTGAGGGCTGGAGCCTCCCACCTCTCCCTGTAGCAGGGAATGAGGTGGGAAAAGGGGGGAGAAGAAGCCTTTAAAACCCTTCAGACCCCATTGATGAGCCACGTGGAGCTCCATCGGCCGCCGTGGGGCTGTGGTGGTGAGGAGGAAGGAGGATGAGGAGAAGCACAGGGGGTAGCGTGGCCCTTCAGGGCTGGTGATGGAGCAGCACGAGCGCATTGCTGTGGGCCTGTCCTGCCTTCAGGAGCATCCGTGGTGCCATGCAATGGGGGCACAGGGATGCAATGGGGAGAGAGCTGGACTAGGGGGTCACACACACACAGAGCAGGAGGTGTGGGGCGGGTGCAGTAACACCAAGGGAGCCCCGAGGCCGCAGCAGCCGTGGGTTTGTGGGTGCTGCCCCCCCTCAACCTCTGCTGCTTTCTCCCTGTCTCCCGAGCAGGTTTGGATGCCTCCGCTCAAACCACCTCTCACGAACTCACCATTCCAAATGATGTGAGTATCCAACTGGGATCCAGCCCAACGCTTCCTCCTTAGCCATGGGGGTACTGGGGGTCTGCCCCTTCCAACTTACGGGGTGGCCTTGTTGCTTTAACCCTTCCCTTAGGGTTCCCAGCCGTGTTTAAGGGAGGAGATGCCCTATGGAGCCCAGTGGGTGCTGGGGGGAGGAAGGGGCTGGTGGGATGCTCTGGGATGCTGACGGGGAGCTGCTTCCCTTGCAGTTGATTGGCTGCATCATCGGGCGCCAGGGCGCCAAGATCAACGAGATCCGTCAGATGTCGGGGGCTCAGATCAAGATTGCCAACCCCGTGGAGGGCTCCACCGACCGCCAGGTCACCATCACCGGCTCTGCCGCCAGCATCAGCTTGGCCCAGTATCTAATCAATGTCAGGTGAGCACCAGCACCGGGCCCGGGGGGCTTGGGGAGGGATCGGCACCATTGGGAGCAAAGGGGGGGGGGGGGGGGTCCAAATCCCTGCTTTTCTCCTGCTTTTGGTCCCTTTCCCACCTCCCACCCACACCCCCCCCCCACCCCATTCCCTTTCCCTCTTGTGCTTTCCTGGTGCTGTCGCTTCCCAGTTTGGGGAAGCTGGAAGGGCCTGGACCCGCTTGGTAAAGGGTCCGTCAAGGTGGTTTTAGGGTTGTGCTGCTTCCATCCAGTGCTTGTATGGTGAGGGCTGATCCGTGGTGGGTGATAGAGGAAGGGACCCCCCATACCCCTCCCTATCCTTAAACCAGCGCCTGCCCAATCCCAAGCATCCCCCAGCGGGATGCCACGATCCCATCCTACTCCCAGCCATACAGAGCCCCCATCCTCCCCACTCCCCAACCCCCTGCATGGGGGCAAAGGGCCCATCCCAGCCACCACTGGGATTTTCCTCTCCTTTTTTACCTCCTGTTGCTGCCCCCAACCCCATGGGGTGCGCAGAGAAACGGGGGGGGTCCCCTTTCCCCACACTGGGCCCTGTGTGTTCTATCCCCCCCCCCTCCATGGTGTTGCCTTTCCACCCACCCGTCGATTTTGGGGTTTTTTGTCTTTTTTCTGTTCCTTTTCTGCTCTATTACAGTCTAGAAAGCGCTAAACCCTCCGCCACGGCCCCTGACCACCTCAGCATCAACCTCTCTCAACCCTCCACCCCTTCTTCTTCTTCCTCCTCCTCCTCCTCCTCCACCACCACCACCCCCTCGCTCGCCTCCGAAGCACCCGTCAGCCTCCCCAACCCTCTTGCGGGTGCCCCCTGTGTCTCCAGTCTGCTTGGCATGAAACCAGTGCCTCTCCTGGCTCTCAATGTGGTCTCTGCTGCTAAAGGAGCCTCGGCTCCGGCCGCGCCGGGCACCTCTAACAAACTGAAAGCTGAGAAGCAGAGGTTTGCTCCTTACTGAGCCTGTGGGGGAGCCTTGAGAGCACCGAGGGGAAGCTGAGGACAAGCCCGCTCCTTTTTGGGGTCCTTTTGGGGTCCTTTTGGGGGCCTTTTGGGGTCCTTTTTGGGTCCTTTTGGGGTCCTTTTGGGTCCATTTTGGGGTCCATTTTGGGGTCCATTTTGGGCCCTTTTGGGGTCCTTTTGGGGTCCCTTTGGGGTCCCTTTGGGGTCCCTTTGGGGTCCCTTTGGGGTCCTTTTAGGGTCCATTTTGGCTCCTTTTGGGCTCCTTTTGGGGTCCTTTTGGGGTCCCTTTTGGGTCCTTTTGGGGCCCTTTTGGGGTCCATTTTGGGTCCATTTTGGGTCCTTTCAGGGTCCTTTCAGGGTCCTTTTAGGGTCCGTTTTGGGTCCTTCTAGAGTCCTTTTTGGGTCCTTCTAGGGTCCATTTTGGGTCCTTTCAGGGTCCCTTTAGGGTCCCTTTAGGGCCCTTTTTTAGGCCCTTTTAGGGTCCTTTTAGGGTCCATTTTGGGTCCTTTCAGGGTCCCTTTAGGGTCCTTTTTGGGTCCTTTCTGTGTCCTTTTGGGCTTCTCCTCTTCCCCTTTGCCTCTCCACAACAAGGCCGTGCTCATCCCAACCATGGGGTTTGACCGGTTGAGAGATGAATCCCCCCCTCCTAGGGAGCCATTCACTCCCGATCCCGCTGCCTGTAGCTTTTCCTTACTGTTTCCTCCCCATTTGTCCCAGTTTTTAGTTGCAATCGTGCTTTGTGGGGTGGGGAGGGAGGGATGGGGGGGGTCATTATGGAATAAACGCCTTGGGGCGGGATTTAATCCTATTGGAATGTCTGTACCCTGTAATAAAGTTGCCACGGTGAGAATCTGCTCTGCTAGATCTGTGCTATGGGGGGGTGGGTTTGGGAGCCTTGGGGGGGTCCCCATCACCCATAATAGGGTGCTTTCACCCCCCCTTTATTTAAATAGCAGGGAGCTTGGCGCAGGTTTGGGGATGCTGGTGCTGACCCTGCTTGCTAAAGGGGGGGATCCCCCCTTATTGCATCGTGTGTGCCCCCCTTAACCCTTTTCCATAGGGTTCCAACCCTTCCCCTCCTTCCCCTTTGCGCTGCTGCCCCCCAGGGTGCTTTGGGTACCCTCATCCCAACCCCTCCCCTTTGCGCTCCACTTGGAGCCCTCCCTTCGCTGCTTCTCCCTTCTGCCCCCCACAAACCCCCTTTCCCCGCTATGGGGCAGCACCTCCCTATGGGGCTCCCCCATCCTTTCCCCCCCTTTACTCTGACGCCCTTTTCTTCGTTGCAGGCTCTCCTCGGAGACCGGGGGCATGGGAAGCAGCTAGGGCCCGCCGCGGAGCCCGGCCTCGCACCATCCATCTGTGTAGCCCCTTTAGAGCCAGCCCCAGAACCTTAGTTTGGACATTTTTGGGTTTCCGGTTCTCCACCACTCACCAGGTTGAGTTGTTTGGGATTTTTCTTGGTTTCTTGATGATTTTTGTTGGGTTTTTTCTTCTCTTTTCCTTACCCCCCCCCCCCCTTTTCCTTTACCCCCCCCCAGCATCAGCGTTTTAACTCCTCCGGTCACCGCTGAGCCCAGATCTTAGTTTTATAAAAGCTTCTCTCTCCTCCCAATGCTCCTCTCTTTGGTTTTCCTCCTTTGCCCCCCACCCCCCCCCCGTGTGCCCCCGCGCTGGGGGAGGGGAGAGGGGGGGGATGGGCGAGGGGGGGAGGGGTGAAGGGGGGGGTGGGGCGCGGGAGCCCCCGCTCCATGGAACGGCAGGAGAATTTTTCAGGAAAAGCAGTTAATAAAAAGATGGACGGGAATTTTGTCAGTGTGCCCCCCCCCCCCCCATAGCATCCCTCTGTGCACCCCATAGCACCCACTGTTCCCCCCCATAGCACCCACTGTGTGCCCCCCCATAGCACCCCCTTTATGTGCCCATAGCACCCCTCTGTGCACCCCCCCATAGCACCCACTGTGTGCCCCCCCATAGCACCCCCTTTATGTGCCCATAGCACCCCCCATTGCACCCCCTTTATGTGCCCATAGCACCCCTTGTGCCCCCCCATAGCACCCCCTGTGCCCAACACCCCCTTGTCCCCCATAGCACCCACTGCCCCCATAGCACCCACTTTGTGCCCCCCCCATAGCACCCACTGTGCCCCCCCATAGCACCCACTGTGCGCCCCCCATAGCACCCACTGCCCCCACCCTGTGCACCCCCATAGCATCCTCTGTGCCCCTCCCATAGCATCCCTTGTGCCACCCCATAGCATCCTCTGTGCACCCCCATAGCATCCTCTGTCCCCCTCCCATAGCACCCACTGTGTACCCCCCATAGCACCCCCTTTATGTGCCCATGGCACCCCCTGTGCCCCCCCATGGCACCCACTGTGCGCCCCCATAGAACCCACTGTGCGCCCCCCGTAGCACCCACTGTGCACCCCATAGCACCCACTGTGTGCCCCCCCATAGCACCCCGTGTGCCTCCCCATAGCACCCCCTGTGCCCCCCCATAGCACCCACTGTGTGCCCCCCATAGCACCCACTTGTGCCCCCCATAGCACCCACTGTGCACCCCATAGCACCCCCTATGTGCCCCCCCATAGCACCCACTGTGCACCCCCCATAGCACCCCCATAGCACCCACTGTTCCCCCATAGCACCCACTGTGCCCCCCCATAGCACCCACTGTGCACCCCATAGCATCCTGTGTGCCCCCCCATAGCACCCACTGTGCACCCCATAGCACCTACTGTGTGCATCCCCCTTAGCACCCACTGTGCCCCCCCATAGCACCCACTGTGTGCAACCCCCATAGCACCCACTGTGCCCCCCCATAGCACCTACTGTGTGCCCCCCCCATAGCACCCACTGTGCACCCCCATAGCACCCACTGTGTGCCCCCCCATAGCACCCCCTTTATATGCCCATAGCACCCCTTACGCCCCCCGTAGCATCCCCATAGCACCCCCTCTTTCCCCCCATAGCACCCTCTGTGCCCCCATAGCAGCCCCCTTTATGTGCCTATGGCATCCCATGCCCTCCCAATAGCATCCCGTTTATGTGCCCATAGCACCCCCTGTGCCCCCCCCATGGCACCCCCTTTATGTGCCCATAGCACTCCCTGTGCCCCCCCATGTCACACCCTTTATGTGCCCATAGCACCCCCGTTATGTGCCCGTGGCACCCCCTTTATGTGCCCATGGCACCCCCTGTTCCCCCAATAGCACCCCCTTTATGTGCCCATAGCACCTCCTGTACCCCCATGGCACCCCCTGTGCCCCCCCATAGCACCTCCTGTGTGTGCTCAGAGCCACCCCCTGGTCCCTGCAGCCCCCCCATGCCCTGGGCTCACTGCCCCAGAGGGGTGCAGGTGGATCCATTGGGTTTGGGGGTTCCGTTGCTCTTTAATGGGAAGCAGCACCCCCAAATCCTTTAGGTTGCCTTTGGGGGGGGACTTTGCTTTAACCCCCCCCCCCCGATCCAGTGGTCCCAGTCCCACCAGTAAAGGAAGAGCAGGACTGAAGGGGGGCTCAGCCCCTTCTATGCTGCTTCCCCCATTATCTCCTTGGGGGGGGGGGGGGAACCTTCCTTTACACCACCCTGCCCCCCAGTACTCCCAGTCCCACCAGTAAAGAAATGGGGCTGGAGGGAGGGAGGGGGCGATTTCAGCCCCTTTTTATGCTCCCCCCACCCCAAATCATCCCCGGGGGGGGGGGTGGCAGATCCCATCCCCCCCCCCCATTTGGGCTATGGGGGTGTTACAGTAGGTCCCATATAAACCCATGAGGGGGATGGGCACTATTGACCCCTGTTGTTGTCCCCTCCCCCATGCCCAGAGACAGGTTCCTATAGAGATCCATAGATATTTATATAAATACATGGGGCTGTACAAGTGGGGTGCGGGGGGGGTGCAGGGGGTGCAGGGGGGGGTTGGGCACAGGTCACAGGCCGGGGGGGGCCGTGGGTCTTGGGGGGCCCTCGCCGCTGCCTGAGTGATCCAGCTCCGCGCTGTCGCAGTCCGAGTCCTCGGAGACCTGGGGGGGGGTGCACACACAAAGGGGGGGTTCAGCATCCTCAGGACCCCCCCCCCCATCCATCGCATTGGGGACCCCAAAGCTCTTCCCTATGGGATCCAGCCCTGGGGGTCCCTAAGCCCCCCCATCCCATAGTGTCAAGCTCTGGGGGACCTTAGAGCCCCCCCACCCCATAGCACCCATCTATGGGGAGCCCCCTGCTCTTTGCTAACCCCAACCGGGGGGGCTCATGGCGTCACCAGCCTGGGGGACCCCAAGGAACCCCCACCCCATAATAGCAGCACTCAGAGACCCTAAGAACCCCCCCCCCCATCCAGTAGCAGCCATCTCTGGGGGTCCCACTTCCTCTTGCTAACTCCAAGCTGGGGTACCACAAGGACCCCCAACCCCATATGAGCAGCATTGGGGGACCATAAGCATCCCCCCACACCGAATAGCACCCATCTGTGGGGGCCCCCTTTCCCATTGCTAACCCCAACCTGGGGTACCCCAAGGAGCCCCCCACCCCATATGAGCAGCACTGGGGGACCCTAAGGACCCCCCAACCCATTAGCACCCATTCCTGAGAGGCTCCTTTCCCATTGCTAACCCCATCCTGGGGTACCCCAAGGACTCCGATCCAATAGCACCCTTAGGGGACCCCTTTCCCCTTGGTAACCCCACCGTGGGGTACCCCAAGGACCCCCAACCAATAGCACCCATCTCCCATTGCTAACCCCATCCTGGGGTACCCCAAGCACCCCCATCCAACAGCACTCTTAGGGGACCCCTTTCCCCTTGCTAACCCCATCCTGGGGTATCCTCAGAACCCCCATCCAATAGCACCCTTAGGGGACCCCTTTCCCCTTGCTAACCCCATCCTGGGGTACCCCAAGCACCCCCATCCAATCGCACCCTTAGGGGACCCCTTTCCCCTTGCTAACCCCATCCTGGGGTACCCCAAGGACCCCCACCCAATAGCACCCTTAGGGGCCCCCTTCTCATTGCTAACCCCATCCTGGGGTACCCCAAGCACCCCCATCCAACAGCACCCTTAGGGGACCCCTTTCCCTTTCCTAACCCCATCCTGGGGTACCCCAAGCACCCCCACCCAATCGCACCCTTAGGGGACCCCTTTCCCGTTGCTAACCCCATCCTGGGGTACCCTAACAACCCCCATCCAACAGCACCCTTAGGGGACCCCTTTCCCTTTCCTATTCCCACCCTGGGGTACCCCAAGGACCCCCATCCAATAGCACCCTTAGGGGACCCCTTTCCCCTTGTTAACCCCATCCTGGGGTACCCTAAGAACCCCCATCCAATAGCACCCATCTCCGGTTGCTAACCCCATCCTGGGGTACCCCAAGCACCCCCACCCAATCGCACCCTTAGGGGACCCCTTTCCCTTTCCTAACCCCACCCTGGGGTACCCCAAGGACCCCCATCCAATAGCACCCATCTCTGGTTCCTATCCCCACCGTGGTGCCCCCCAAGCCCCGCCCACCCGGGGGGTGTGTGTGGTGTCAGTGACCTTGGGTCTCGGGGGTCCGTCGGGGGGGGCGGTGTCCATGGGGATCTCGGAGCCCTGCGAGAGCAGATCCTCGGAGCGCTCGTCCGGGCGCTCGTCCGTGTTGGTGCTGCCCACGTCGGGGGTGGCGCTGGGGGAGGCCTCGCTCGTGAGCCCCTCCCCCTCCCCGTCCCCGTCCCCGTCCCCGTCCCCATCCGAGAAGTTCTCGGAGCTGAAGGTGGAGAGCGACGGGCGCTGGCTCATGGCCGGGGGCCACCTGGGCACGGGAGAGGGGGGGTCAGCGGGGTACCCGTACGTAGAGACACATGGGTAACACATGGGTAACACGTGGGTAACACGTGGGTAACACATGGGTACCACATGGGTAACACATGGGTAACATGTGGGTAACAGATGGGTAACACGTGGATAACACGTGGGTAACACATGCACTGTGCATGGGCATCACATGGGTACCACATGGATACACACATACACATGGGTACACATGGGTACTACATGGATACACACAGATACACATGGATACCACATGGGTAACACATGGGTAACACATGGGTACCATGTGGATACACACAGATACACATGGGTAACACATGGGTAACCCATGGGTAACACATGGATAACACATGCACTGTGCATGGGCATCACATGGGTACCGCATGGATACACACAGATACACATGGGTAACACATGGGTAACACGTGGGTAACACGTGGGTAACACGTGGGTAACACGTGGGTAACACATGGGTAACACATGGATAACACATGGAGAGTGCATGGGCATCACATGGGTACCGCATGGATACACACAGATACACATGGGTACACATGGGTACTACATGGATACACACAGATACACACAGACACAAACACAAACACAAAACACAACCACAAAACACAAAACACGTGGGTAACACATGGATAACACATGGGCAACACATGGGTAACACAGAAACACATGGGCAACACATGGGTAACACAGTAACACATAGATAACACAAACACATAACACATGGGTAACACATGGATAACACATGGATACACATGGGTAACACATGGGTAACACATGGGTAACACATGGATACCACATGATACCACATGGGTAACACATGGGTAACACATGGATAACACATGGGTAACACATGGGTAACACATGGGTAACACATGGATAACACATGGGTAACACATGGGTAACACATGGGTAACACATGGGTAACACATGGGTAACACATGGGTACCACATGCACTGTGCATGGGCATCACATGGGTACCACATGGATACACACAGATACACATGGATACACATGGGTACCACATGGATACACACAGATACACATGGGTACACATGGGTACTACATGGATACACACAGATACACATGGGTACACATGGGTAACACATGGACAGTGCATGGGTATCACATGGGTACCGCATGGATACACAGATACACATGGGTACACATGGGTACTACATGGATACACACAGATACACACAGATACACATGGGTAACACATGGGTAACACATGGATAACACATGGGTACCACATGGATAACACATGGATAACACGTGGGTAACACATGGGTAACACATGGGTAACACATGGGTAACACATGGATAACACATGGGTAACACATGGGTAACACATGGGTAACACATGGATAACACATGGGTAACACATGGGTAACACATGGGTAACAGAGATACACATGGATAACACATGGGTAACACATGGGTAACACATGGGTACCACATGGGTACCACATGGGTAACACATGGGTAACACATGGGTAACACATGGGTAACACATGGATAACACATGGATAACACATGGGTAACACATGGGTAACACGTGGATAACACGTGGGTAACACGTGGGTAACACATGGGTAACACATGGATAACACATGGGTAACACATGGGTAACACATGGGTAACACATGGGTAACACATGGGTAACACATGGGTACCACATGCACTGTGCATGGGCATCACATGGGTACCACATGGATACACACAGATACACATGGATATACATGGGTACCACATGGATACACACAGATACACATGGATACACATGGGTACCACATGGATACACACAGATACACATGGGTACACATGGGTACTACATGGATACACACAGATACACATACACAGTGCATGGGCATCACATGGGTACCGCATGGATACACACAGAGCGTGGGCATCACGGGGGTACCCATAGGTACACACATGGGTAACACATGCACAGTGCATGGGCATCACATGGGTACCACATGGATACACACAGATACACATGGGTACACATGGGTACTACATGGATACACACAGATACACATGGGTAACACATGGGTACTGCACAGGCACACATGGGTATCACATGGATACACACAGAGCGTGGGCATCACTGGGGTACCCATAGATATACACATGGATAACACATGGGTACTGCACAGGTACACATGGGTATCACATGGGTACACACAGAGCATGGGCATCATGGGGATACCCATAGATACACACATGGGTAACACATACACAGTGCGTGGGCATCACATGGGTACCACATGGATACACACAGATACACATGGGTACACATGGGTACCATGTGGATACACACAGATTACACATGGATAACACATGGGTACTGCACAGGTACACATGGGTATCACATGGGTACACACAGAGCGTGGGCATCATGGGGGTACCCATAGATACACACGTGGATAACACATGCACAATGCATGGGCATCACATGGGTACCACATGGATACACAGATATACATACACAGTGCATGGGCATCACATGGGTACCACATGGATACACACAGATACACATGGATAACACATGGGTACTGCACAGGTACACATGGGTATCACATGGGTACACACAGAGCGTGGGCATCATGGGGGTACCCATAGATACACACGTGGATAACACATGCACAGTGCATGGGCATCACATGGGTACCACACAGGTACACAGATACACATGGGTACACATGGGTACCACGTGGATACACACAGATACACATGGATAACACATGGGTACTGCATAGGTACACATGGGTACCACATGGCTACAGAGCATGGGCATCACGGGGGTACCCATAGATACACACGGGGATAACACATGGGTACACATGGATGCACATACACAGTTCATGGGAATCACATGGGTACCACATGGATACACACAGATACACATACACAGTGCATGGGCATCACATGGGTACCACACAGGTACACAGATACACATGGATACACATGGGTACCGCATGGATACACACAGATAATGGATAACACATGGGTACTGCACAGGTACACATGGGTACCACATGGATACACACAGAGTGTGGGCGTCACGGGGGTACCCATAGATATACACGTGGATAACACATACACAGTGCGTGGGCATCACATGGGTACCATATGGATACACACAGACCACAACCCAAGATACACACTAACACATGGGTACTGCATAGGCACACATGGGTACCACATGGATACACACAGCGTGGGCATCACGGGGGTACCCATAGAAACATGCATGGGTAACACATGGGTACACATGGAGAGTGCATGGACATCACATGGGCATCACATGGATACACACAGAGCATGGGCGTCATGGGGGTACCCATAGATACACACGTGGATAACACATGGGTACCGCATAGGTACACATGGGTACCACATGGATACACACAGATACACATACACAGTGCATGGGCATCACATGTGTACCACATGGATACACACAGATACACATACACAGTGCATGGGCATCACATGGGTACCACATGGATACACACAGATACACATACACAGTGCATGGGCATCACATGGGTCACAAGAACAGACACACAATAACCATGGAACGGTACACATGGATCACACAGATACACATACACACTGGGCACACATTCACATGATCACACAGTACATACACAGTGCATGGGCATCACATGGGTACCACATGGATACACACAGATACACATACACAGTGCATGGGCATCACATGGGTACCACATGGATACACACAGATACACATACACAGTGCATGGGCATCACATGGGTACCACATGGATACACACAGATACACATACACAGTGCATGGGCATCACATGGGTACCACATGGATACACACACACAGTGCATGGGAGTCACTGGGGTACCATGTGGGTACTGCATGGGTACCACATGGATACACACAGAGCATGGGTATCGCATGGGTACCACATGGGGACCACATAGATAAACATGGATATACACAGCGCACGGGCATCACGTGGGTATCGCATGGGTACACATGGATACACACAGCGTGGGCATCACATGGGTACCACATGGGTACACATAGATACCCATAGACACACATAGTTAACCATGGATACCCCACAGACACACGCAGCGCGTGTGGGCATTACATGGGTACCACATGGGTACCAATAGATACAGATAGATAAGCATGGATACCCATGAGCACCCATAGACACCCATAGCACACGCAGCACATGTGGGCATCACATAGGTACCACATGGGTACCACACAGGTACCCATAGATACACATAGCTAACCATGGATACCCCATAGCACACACAGAACGTGCAGGCATCACATGAGTACCACATGGACACACATAAACACACACAGTGCATGGGCACCACATGGGTACCACATGGGTGCACATCGACACATAGCATGGGCATCACATGGGTGCACATAGATACACACAGACGCACAGCTAACCATGGATACCCCATAGCACACACAACATGGGCATCACATGGGTACACATGGATGCGCATATATACACGTAGATAACCATGGTTACCCCATAGACACACACAGCACATGGGCATCACATGGGTACGACATGTGTACACATAGATACTCATAGACACACACAGCGCATAGGCACCGCATGGGTACCCCATAGACACACACAGCACACGTGGGCATCACATGGGTACCACATAGGTACACATGGATGCACACAGATAACCATGGATACCCATAGAACACACAGTGAACATGGGCATCACATGGGTACCACATGGGTACCACATAGGCACACATGGATGCACATAGGTAACCATGGATACCCGTAGCACACACAGCGTGAGTGGGCATCACATGGGTACCACATGGGTACCACATAGGTACACATGGATGCACATAGGTAACCATGGATACCCATAGCACACTCAGAGTGTGTGGGCATCACATGGGTACCACATGGGTACCACATAGGCACACATGGATGCACATAGATAACCATGGATACCCATAGCACACACAGTGAACATGGGCATTACATGGGTACCACATGGGTACCACATAGGCACACATGGATGCACATAGGTAACCATGGATACCCATAGCACACACAGCGCGTGTGGGCACCACATGGGTACCACATGGGTACCACATAGGTACACATGGATGCACATAGGTAACCATGAATACCCATAGAACACACAGCGTGAGTGGGCATCACATGGGTACCACATAGGTACACATGGATGCACATAGGTAACCATGGATACCCATAGCACACACAGTGCATGTGGGCATCACATGGGTACCACATGGGTACCACATAGGTACACATGGATGCACATAGGTAACCATGGATACCCATAGCACACACAGCGCACGTGGGCATCACATGGGTACCACATAGGCACACATGGATGCACATAGGTAACCATGGATACCCATAGAACACACAGTGCATGTGGGCATCACATGGGTACCACATGGGTACCACATAGGTACACATGGATGCACATAGATAACCATGGATACCCATAGCACACACAGCGCACGTGGGCATCACATGGGTACCACATAGGTACACATGGATGCACATAGGTAACCATGGATACCAATAGCACACACAGTGCATGTGGGCATCACATGGGTACCACATGGGTACCACATAGGTACACATGGATGCACATAGATAACCATGGATACCCATAGCACACACAGCGCATGTGGGCATCACATGGGTACCACATAGGTACACATGGATGCACATAGGTAACCATGGATACCCATAGCACACACAGCGCACGTGGGCATCACATGGGTACCACATAGGTACACATGGATGCACATAGGTAACCATGGATACCCATAGCACACACAGAGTGAGTGGGCATCACGTGGTTGCATGGGTACACATAGATATGCACAGCGTGGGCATCACATGGGTACCACATGGGTACCCATAGACACACATAGACACATACAGCACGTGGACACCCCATGGACACCACATAGATACCCATAGACACCCATAGATACCCCATAAATACCCCATAGCACACACAGCATGCGTGTGGGCACCCTATGGACACCCACAGATACCCATAGATACCCATGGGCACCCATAGATACCCCATAAATACCCCATAGCACACACAGCACGCGTGTGGGCACCCTATGGACACCCACAGACACCCATAGATACCCACGGGCACCCATAGATACCCCATAGCACACACAGAGCACACGTGCACCCCATGGGCACCCATGGGTACCCCATAGCACACACAGCATGCATGGGCACCCGATACACACCCCATAGCAAACACAGCACATGTGGGCACCCCATAGGCACACGTGGACACACACAGATAACCATAGACACCCCATAGATAGCCCATAGCACACACAGCACCCATAAGACACCCATAGCACATCCAGCACCCCATAGATAACCCATAGCACCCATAGACACCCCATAGCACCCGTAGACACCCACAGGACCCCACAGCACACCCAGCTATCTCTTGCACCCATAGCACACCCAGCAGCCCATAGATAACCCATAGCACCCATAGACACCCCATAGCACACCCAGCACCCCATAGATAACCCATAGCACCCATAGACACCTCATAGACACCCCATAGCCCACCCAGCACCCATAGCACACCCAGCACCCCATAGATAACCCATAGCACCTCATAGCACCCATATCCACTGCACAGGACCCATAGCACCCCATAGGCACCCCCTGCACCCATACAGCCCTATCACCCCATAGATAACCCATAGAGCCCCTATCCACCCCATAGAGCCCCATAGCACCCCATAGAGCCCCCCTGCACCCATAGCACACCCAGCACCCCATAGATAACCCATAGCACCCCTATCCACCGCACAGGACCCATAGCACCCCATAGCACCCATAGACACCCATGCTGCTCTCTGGGCACCCCATAGATAACCCATAGCACCCATATCCACCACACAGGACCCATAGCACCCCATAGCACCCCTATCCACCACACAGGACCCATAGCACCCCATAGCACCCCTATCCACCGCACAGGACCCATAGCACCCCATAGCACCCATAGACACCCATGCTGCTCCCTGGGCACCCACCTCTGCCGCAGCGGCAGCTCCACCTCGCTGTCCACTTCCCCCTCCTCTTCCTCTGAGGACACCCCCCGCTTCTGGGGGCACACAGAGGGGGGTTGGCTCCTGCCCCCCCCCCCATCACCAGGAGGGACCCCCCAAACCCCCCCCCCAGGGTTCCCCATCCCAACCCTGTTATAGGATGCACCCCCATAGCCCCCATCACCATGGGGCCCAAACCCCCCCACTAAGGGTTTCCCATCCCATCCCCCCCATAGGATGCACCCATAGGGTCCTGGATCCTCCCCATCACCTGGAGGGACCCCAACGCCCCCCCCCCAAGGACCATCCCACCCCCCCATAGGATGCACCCATAGGGTCCTGACACCCCCAATTCCCCTCCCCCTAAGGGTTCCCCATCCCCCCCATAGGATGCGCCCATAGGATACTGAATGCTCCCCATCACCTGGAGGGTCCCCAAAACCCCCCACAGGGACCATCCCACCCACCGCATAGGATGCACCCATAGGATACTGACACCCCCAATTCCCCTCCCCCTAAGGGTTCCCCATCCCACCACCCCATAGGATGCACCCATAGGGTCCTGAATCCCCCCATTACCTGGAGGGACCCCAGCCCCCCCCCCTCAGGGACCATCCCAGCCCCCCCATAGGATGCACCCATAGGGTCCTGAATGCTCCCCATCACCTGGAGGGACCCTAACGCCCCCCCCCCCCCAGCAGGGACCATCCCATTCCCCCCCATAGGATGCACCCATAGGGTCCTGGATCACCCCCATCACCTGGAGGGACCCCAAATCCCCCTTGCAGGGACCATCCCACCCCCCCATAGGATGCACCCACAGGGTCCTGACACCCCCAAACCCCCCTCCCCCCCTCCATAGGATACACCCATAGGGTCCTGGATCACCCCCATCACCTGAAGGGACCCGAACCCCCCCCCGCAGGGTTCCCCCTCCCCCCCATAGGATGCACCCATAGGACCCTAGATCACCCCCATCACCTAGAGGGACCCCAAATC